AAAAAAAAAAAAAAATGATATGTTTTGCCCCGTATCAGACAACTAATATGTATCGTCCCGTACTAAGTACCTTGTATCATGTATCGCACAATACAGTACAAACCTGATACACTTGAGCAATAAATATCGTTTTCTTCATGTATAGAAATGTACCAGATCGCATATCATATGATATTAACAACTACATTTATAGAACTTAAGCTATCTGATATCACAATTTACTTTTTGCATTGGAGAATAACAGCATTGGTAATCTAGAATAGGATAGGTTACACCAGTACAATAATGTCATATGCTACAATAAGTTTAGTTTTTAAACAACATTGCATCACCCTCTACCCATCAAACCTTTGTCAAAAGGTGGACAATTGATAATGTGGTGTTGTTTGGTGCAATAGGCAAGCTTGGTTTGTTAAGTGTGAGAATGCTTTTTTGAGTCTGGCGGCAGCTATTCTTAATAAGTTAAACTTAGATTAAAACAAAAGGTAGCATTCTAGGGCAACAAGCCCCAACCTGTACAGCTGGTTGGTTGAGCAAACAAGATGCTGAATGTCTCAAGTGTGAGAAGTAACACAAAAGGCCATAAATGCTAATTGGGAAAAAATGAAAATTGAACATTAAGGATGCTGGAAACAAGTGACATTACATAAACAAATTTAAAAATAGAGAACTGCACATACTAAATATGTGTTAAATGCATTTTCCATGCAATACTCAGCATCCTTTCTCAATTGATCCGACATGAAATACGTCAGGCCCATCATTTCCTGCAAGACAACATGAAAAACAATGTAATATGTTGTCCATGAAGAAGATATCCACATACTTGTAGATCTTGTTGTCCATAAATAAGATATCCACGTACGCGTAGGTCTAAATGCAGGGATATATGATTGCTAGCACTACCAGAAAAAACCAAAGCAGAACAATAAAACTCAGATTAATACACCAGCAAATGACGATCATGAGAGGGGGGTTGGGAATACCACGCAGGCATTTGAAATTGTTCCTATTTTTTTCCTATTTTGCTTTTCCTTGTTTAAGGCTTTAGGCCTTTAAGCCATTGAAACTAGTCTCCCACTTAAAACTTTAAGCACACTTAATTTCAATCCATACGTTGAAAATTTAGGGAATCGATCCACCAATATAGTTTACTTAACTAGACTATCTTAATGTGAAAGACTAGAATATGTCAATGTAACTTTCCATATGGCACATTCCAGAATCACCAGGGCACCATCAGCCAAAAGTATGCATGACACGGTCATCCTTATTTCACACAGAAGTTGTGACCTTTTTTCACACAGAAGTTTGCATGGCGGCCCAATTCACCAAAACTCTAAAACACCCCAACCTAACATTGTACAAGCTGGGCCATGGAATCTGGATATACTTGCACATCACATCCCTCTGCAAAACTAGCGCAATCCAAACATTCAATCATGCACTTAAGCTGAAATGAGAGAATCACGTCAAGTCCTCCATCCCCAAAAGTAAGACACACTTAACACAAAGCAAATGCTAGAATTTGCTTTCACATGTGGAATTCCTCATAAAGCCTAGAGTTACTAATCACCGGTTTCACTTTGTTCTTCGAGAAAATCAAAGTAACTTCACAAAAAGGTTCGAAAGAGTATTTATAGTCAAAGATTGCTTGTTAGAAATAAGAAAACCATCTGCCACATGACAAGGGCAAAGGTTCCTTGATGTCTACAGGAACATAACACCTGATGGCATCCCTCTATGAGAACTCAATACAAAGACCCCAGGGTTAAAATTTAAAAACTTGACAAACCCCCATGAACAGCTGAAGCATATAGAAGATTTTCCTAATTTACAACAGCAGATGACCATAAAAAACAAAGACCTCACTAAGACAAGGATTTAAAAGCTACCTGTACACCGGCATACTGTTTCCATGATTTATCAAGCTTGTAATCTGTGGAAAGCAGTCGATAGTTTGACAGTGCGAGCTCATAATCTCGTAACATGAAGGCATAGTCACCCAGAATTCTCATTTGAGATTCAATTGAGTTAAATGTATACCTTCAACAGTAAGCAAACAAGAAATTAGAAGAACAAAGTGTAGGGCAGAAGCTTGCAGCAACAAATAAAAAATAATATTGCAAATCATACATGGGACCACTGGGGCTAGCGGGAATATCTTCTTTCCCTTTTCTCCACCACAAGTTTTTTATTTGATTTCTAAATCCTTTCCTTGTTGCAGAAACCTAAGCATAGAAAATTATCAAATCAAGGAAAGATGTGATCGAGAATAACAATGGACTAAAACAACTAACTTTGGAAGTTCAAGTTGCTCTTATTATTTGAAATCAGAAGCAGAAGAAGAATACCTGCTCATTAAGAACACGGATTTTGTGCTCCATGTGAGGAATGATGTGCTTAGATGACAGATCTTGCATTATATTTTTCAACTGTCACAGTTCCACAAAAACATTTACAGAACATGTCAATAATTTTTCGTCATTATTCTAAATTGAAAAAAATTATAAGCTAGCAATCCTCAAAAACATTTTCTTTCCATATTGAGCTAACAAGGTTTGAAAGAAAGAACCTCATCCAAATCATCGATGTTTAGGAAGCAACCAAGCCTGTTACTATTTGCAGCATCAGTTTTCTGTCACATGACATGATACAGCCTTTAACAATTATTTATCTAATAATAAAAATCCTCACTTCCTACCAGAGAGAAATCAAACAAAAAGAAATCTAGTGCTGAAAAATTAGCTTACATAAGGATCCCACGGGTTTTCTTGATGTTCCTCTGACCCATCTTGGGAGGAGTTAATACATAGCAATCGACAATCATTTGCGCCAAATGTATTCTTCATTTCTGTCAATATTTTCGTTGCTCTGCAAGATAAGCATTTATATCAGTAACAGTCCTGTAAGGTTCAAGTAGCATAAGCTTATTGAAGATAAAATTAATAATGAGAAATTACCAAGTTTTCACTTTTGGTTTTATGATTTATTTTGGAGGAGATGAACAGAAGAATATCTTATGGCTTGGACTTTGGACCATTGGATGTGTAAGTCTTGTATCCTGCATGAAATAGCCTAAGATACTCTTGCCTACTAAAATTTGGATAACTCAAAACATTGATTTTCTAGAACCTCGATTTTCGTGGTAAGCTACTAACTAGAGTTTGTGAGTTCTGTGGTGAATTCATAACTGAATCTGTACAGGCAACTATTGATGTTCCAAAGGAAAAGAGATCCCACTCTTTAAATATATCAGCTCAGAAGGATATAGAGCACCTAAAAAGAAAGGATCCAATACTCTGATTTCTCAGTTTTTACCTCATTCCCCAATATATGCTGCAGCTATTGCCTGCTTGGAGAAGAAATGCCGCATTTAGAGGTCATTGTGGGCCCATGCCAAACAAAGTAAGTGTTTCCATTTGCAAAAAATTTCCCATCGCGATTGTTTTTTAGGTAAATAAACTATTACTAACAGAACAAAAAGTTCCCATTAAAATTTGAAGTCCCTTAGTAATTTCAAAATAGCATGGACCGTGGACCAATATCAATCAATATTCTTTCAAGTTCCACATGATGTGACCGATTATGAATTATGTTTAAATTTTACTACCATATTGTGAAGTTAAACAACAACAAAGGAATGAGCCAATGTACCTGTCCAATGTGCCATCTTGGTTATCATGCACCAATAAGAAATGCTTCAATATCTTTGGATCCATTGCGCCATCATTAAGAAGAGAGGGCAACTGGTTGGTATTGAAAAGGTCAACAAATTTGTTGATAGGCTCTTCATCCTTAGAAGAAACAACCAAAAGGCCTACACATCACAGTAGAACATAGGCTGCAATCAAAAGATGTATAATCATATAAAACCCAGAGGTAAAAAGCCCTGACCAAAACTTTAGGTAATGATCATACTTCAAGCAAATCAAGACCATCGAACTTCAGAAAGAGAGAGAACTTCTCCCAAATAAAAATAACAATCCCTGTGAGTGGACAAACTTACATGCCACAGGATGGTCAAAAGCTTCATGTTCTGAAAAAGAGACTGCACGTACAAGCTCTTTGTTGAAAAAATGAAACCACGATGGCAAACAGTCTGGTTGAGATGCTGCAGAGGAAAATATGAAATCATTAATCAGAAACAATGCTAGATAAAAACTAAATGAATATATAAGAAAAAAAATAAAGGGGCAGACAATAGAGGCAGCACCAATATTTTAGCAACAAAGTGATATAAGGGTGGTTCGGAAGCCAATTGCAAGTGTAGATGGCCAACACTGATGTATAACTGCCGATATTTTTTTAATCCTAAACACACTTCTAAACCGTTCACATAAGACCCAGGGAGAATGTAACTTACAAGTGAGAACAGTTTCAGTTGGTGGCGGATCAGAATACAAGGTGGAAAGATCTTTCTCTCCTGCAAGAGTGATAACCTGTTTTAGCCGCTCCTTTGCAACCTACTAGGCAAAATATATTTCTCAGAAAGAACAAATTAAGATTGCAGAGGAAGAATAACACTTCAACACAAAACTACAAAGACAAAGCGCACCCCCAACAACACACACAAAGTTCAAACATAAAAAGATGGTAAAGACAATAAATTAATGCCACAAAACTGGCTATCTTGCCTCTATTGTCCAACTAAAATGCAGATAAAATATCCTATTTTTCTGTACATCCATCAATTTTTTGATTAAGACCAGGACAAACAATGCCATATTTTTAAAACCCTGTAAAACCAAACTAATAGTCTACAAGATAGTATGCATTCTAGTATTTCGTGTTTTTCTTTTAATGCCCTTCAAACCATCAAGAAATTGGCATAACCCATATACACACACGGTATCCAATAAAATATCACTTCACAGCCGTACGTATATAAAATTGAGGGAGAGTACCCCTTTTGACTGCCCAATGACTTTTAAGTTTCCACTTTTTGACAGAAACAAATTTAACCACCCATCTTAACCATCACTCTTTTTTCCATCCCCCCCCCCCCTTCCCTCCTCCCAAGTCCCAACCCAATAAAAACATGTAATAGCAAAAAACAAAATTCATTGATTAAAAAGATCTTTCAACAAATTTTAAGAATTATCTAATGATACATTGTGGTCACCTTGTTATTAATAGAACATTTGCAGATACAACACATGTGCCGTGATTTCTAGTGCCTGGGACAGGACTCAACTATCCCAAAATTACTAAATACTCAACAAAAGAAACTTCAACATTCATAACAGCTCCCCTCCCTTCACATGCTCTTTTGTTCCTCATGCACCCGAAAAAGTATAAGAGCTGCCTACAACATGTCTCCCTCTATGACACCTCCTATACAAGGACCAATAGTTCTCTGACGTCCATTAGAGAATGAGCATAGGCCAAAGAACTCCAAATCTCTCACCAGTTCACAATGAACCATTAGGGTTCCAAAAGTCTTTCTTGCATTCTTGCAAACATAGAAACTGGTCTAAAGTCATGACAAAATAGAAAATGAAAAGAAAGGAGGGATATACTGTGACACTCGGCACTACAACACAATGGTAGCCAGAACTTCCGCCTCATTTGAGACAGGAGGGACATCTGCACACAGTGAAGGAACTGTTTCTCTATAGTACCCAGATGCCACCACATATATTACCAGATCTTTCTACAAATGAAATTATCAAAAACTTAGAATACATAATCAAGCCATCTTCCACGATAAGAAAGCCACTTATTCTGAGCCTTAGATCCCCATATAATCTTCCATGGGAATGAGAATGCCTTGTCTCTACAAAACTGATAGTCCAAGACCTTAGTTGAGAACTCACCATCCTTAAACTCCCTCCAAATGCATTACAGCGCTTTAGCAACAACTCAATTCATTCCATCCCAGTATTGTGGCATTCCGGAACCAAGGAAACCAAACCTCATGACTGTAAAAGATGTCACCATGCCCACCACCATCCCTTCCTTGTCTGGACCCTTCGATACAGGTCTGGTTACTCCCTCATCAACTCCACTTCATAATTCATCTCCAAATCAGGCTCTCAGATTTTTAATCTGATGAATTTGTTGCACTGCTCCTACCATCATGATACCCTTGCACAAACCAACCCTTGAGGTAGTCTCACCTCCCTCGAGGACCCCTCCTACATCTCTCCCCTATTTGCTACCCATTCCCTTCTCTGGTAACACATTTCGTTCTACCACATATCACAACCATTTCCCTGAACAGGTTATATTGGNACCCCCCCCCCCCTTCCCTCCTCCCAAGTCCCAACCCAATAAAAACATGTAATAGCAAAAAACAAAATTCATTGATTAAAAAGATCTTTCAACAAATTTTAAGAATTATCTAATGATACATTGTGGTCACCTTGTTATTAATAGAACATTTGCAGATACAACACATGTGCCGTGATTTCTAGTGCCTGGGACAGGACTCAACTATCCCAAAATTACTAAATACTCAACAAAAGAAACTTCAACATTCATAACAGCTCCCCTCCCTTCACATGCTCTTTTGTTCCTCATGCACCCGAAAAAGTATAAGAGCTGCCTACAACATGTCTCCCTCTATGACACCTCCTATACAAGGACCAATAGTTCTCTGACGTCCATTAGAGAATGAGCATAGGCCAAAGAACTCCAAATCTCTCACCAGTTCACAATGAACCATTAGGGTTCCAAAAGTCTTTCTTGCATTCTTGCAAACATAGAAACTGGTCTAAAGTCATGACAAAATAGAAAATGAAAAGAAAGGAGGGATATACTGTGACACTCGGCACTACAACACAATGGTAGCCAGAACTTCCGCCTCATTTGAGACAGGAGGGACATCTGCACACAGTGAAGGAACTGTTTCTCTATAGTACCCAGATGCCACCACATATATTACCAGATCTTTCTACAAATGAAATTATCAAAAACTTAGAATACATAATCAAGCCATCTTCCACGATAAGAAAGCCACTTATTCTGAGCCTTAGATCCCCATATAATCTTCCATGGGAATGAGAATGCCTTGTCTCTACAAAACTGATAGTCCAAGACCTTAGTTGAGAACTCACCATCCTTAAACTCCCTCCAAATGCATTACAGCGCTTTAGCAACAACTCAATTCATTCCATCCCAGTATTGTGGCATTCCGGAACCAAGGAAACCAAACCTCATGACTGTAAAAGATGTCACCATGCCCACCACCATCCCTTCCTTGTCTGGACCCTTCGATACAGGTCTGGTTACTCCCTCATCAACTCCACTTCATAATTCATCTCCAAATCAGGCTCTCAGATTTTTAATCTGATGAATTTGTTGCACTGCTCCTACCATCATGATACCCTTGCACAAACCAACCCTTGAGGTAGTCTCACCTCCCTCGAGGACCCCTCCTACATCTCTCCCCTATTTGCTACCCATTCCCTTCTCTGGTAACACATTTCGTTCTACCACATATCACAACCATTTCCCTGAACAGGTTATATTGGATAACTCTTACCTTTCAACCACCAGTGTTATTTAAACTCGGCCATAGTTTTCCCCCACATAAAGACTCTTGAAGCTTTCCTCACCTCGCGATCCCTTAAATGAACATTGCCCCTTCAGACCTGCCATCCGTGTCTCAAACCCTCTTAGCTACTGAATCCCACAAAGCCTTGGTGTTAAAGGATGGGTTTAGTGAAAGGATTCAAATAGGTAGGAGAAAGACTCTCTTCAAATTATCTTGTAACATTTTCCACACATTGCATTAAGTTTCCCTTGCTCACATTTGATCAGAAAGAACTAAACATATAAACACACACACATGACACATATATTACGACAGAATCTTCTAACATCCTGAAGTTTGATTGCTTCGATCAATAGTGGGTTACCCATTTGATCAGTGAGCCTTTCTAAGAACGGGGAAGCCTCGTTAATATATGGAACCCCCCAATGGAGTCAAAAATGGCGAAATACTAATAGGCAATGCGCTCATATCTTAAATTACAAAGAACCCACTAGACCACTACATTTTTGACAACAAAACACTCAACCACATAGTTGATCAACCGCATGATCTTTGAGAATAATTGAGTCAAATATATGTGTGTGTATGTATATATATATATATAAACAAAACTATATAATCATTAGTTAGAATCGAATGGTATACAGAAAGACTGCTTTAAGGCAGCAGCCACCCATTTTCAACCGGTAAAAGTTATCTCATAAGGCTTCCCTTCAGTTATTCAATAGGAGAAGAGGGAGGGGGCTTCCAATTTCATGAATCCAACCATGACTCCTTTTAGACACAAAAAAAAGGGAAAAAGAAAGAAAGAAAACGTGTGAATAGAGTAGAAAGGTCATAGGTTGGCAATGAGTCACCGCTTGCCAATCTCCCCAGTGGAATAGTTAGCTCCTGATATGCTCCACATGTTTCTATACAGAGGCCATGCTTAGTTGAACAATAAAATGGTCAGGCTGACAAGCAGGAGAACACAGGCTTGAGTCTCTGCAAATCATTGTGGGCAAATATTCCCGAAAAAAAAAAGGTCTGCATTTACTCTCTCTCTCTCTCTCCCAACATAGTTAGCAGAACCACAATAAGTAATGTGTCTGTGTATGTGCAGGGGCATACTAGTATCAGCGTATGTAACTGACCCTGGGTTATATGCTGTTTTCATATCCATAATAATAAGAAACACACACACACAATGCTTCACTTTTCTAAATTTTCTCAGCATTCAAACTACACTTAAAACAGTTCCCAAAAATGACAATGCCACTTGCGTCAAATTTACTACTAACGACATCTACTGTGCACTGCCAATCCAAAAACAACAGTTCAAATTCATTCGGTAAGTAGTATTATTGTTAAAATACAATTACCTCAATATTTGGCTGCCGAACATCGGACGCATAGAACAACCGTAACTTGAACTTCCGTAATCTATAAGGCTGATCACTCGCTGTCCGTACAGGCACTATAAACATATAACGAAGAAACAACTAATTCACCAAATATATACACACAAAAACGTATATACATACACATATACTTAAATGCGTATATATATATATATATGTGTGTGTGTGTGTGTGTGTGTGTGTGNGGAACCCCCCAATGGAGTCAAAAATGGCGAAATACTAATAGGCAATGCGCTCATATCTTAAATTACAAAGAACCCACTAGACCACTACATTTTTGACAACAAAACACTCAACCACATAGTTGATCAACCGCATGATCTTTGAGAATAATTGAGTCAAATATATGTGTGTGTATGTATATATATATATATAAACAAAACTATATAATCATTAGTTAGAATCGAATGGTATACAGAAAGACTGCTTTAAGGCAGCAGCCACCCATTTTCAACCGGTAAAAGTTATCTCATAAGGCTTCCCTTCAGTTATTCAATAGGAGAAGAGGGAGGGGGCTTCCAATTTCATGAATCCAACCATGACTCCTTTTAGACACAAAAAAAAGGGAAAAAGAAAGAAAGAAAACGTGTGAATAGAGTAGAAAGGTCATAGGTTGGCAATGAGTCACCGCTTGCCAATCTCCCCAGTGGAATAGTTAGCTCCTGATATGCTCCACATGTTTCTATACAGAGGCCATGCTTAGTTGAACAATAAAATGGTCAGGCTGACAAGCAGGAGAACACAGGCTTGAGTCTCTGCAAATCATTGTGGGCAAATATTCCCGAAAAAAAAAAGGTCTGCATTTACTCTCTCTCTCTCTCTCCCAACATAGTTAGCAGAACCACAATAAGTAATGTGTCTGTGTATGTGCAGGGGCATACTAGTATCAGCGTATGTAACTGACCCTGGGTTATATGCTGTTTTCATATCCATAATAATAAGAAACACACACACACAATGCTTCACTTTTCTAAATTTTCTCAGCATTCAAACTACACTTAAAACAGTTCCCAAAAATGACAATGCCACTTGCGTCAAATTTACTACTAACGACATCTACTGTGCACTGCCAATCCAAAAACAACAGTTCAAATTCATTCGGTAAGTAGTATTATTGTTAAAATACAATTACCTCAATATTTGGCTGCCGAACATCGGACGCATAGAACAACCGTAACTTGAACTTCCGTAATCTATAAGGCTGATCACTCGCTGTCCGTACAGGCACTATAAACATATAACGAAGAAACAACTAATTCACCAAATATATACACACAAAAACGTATATACATACACATATACTTAAATGCGTATATATATATATATATGTGTGTGTGTGTGTGTGTGTGTGTGTGTGTGTGTGTGTGTGTGTGAAGATAGATAGATATATATATAGAGAGAGAGAGAGGGAGGGTGTTACCGTCAATGTTGTTGAAGACGCAGAAAGGGCTGAGCATTTCGACTAAGCTAAGGTCATTTTTCTGACAACTCTCCTCGACGAAAGGGGTTCGGAGGACCATGACCACGGGGGTGATCTCGTCCAATAGCATCCGTCCAAGTGGCGAGTTCGCCGGATCCACCATCGTCCTCCGCCCAAATTGCCCTCACCGCCTACGAGTGATAACTGACTCACCAGGTCAACTAGATTCAAGGTTTTGGCTTTCTGCTCAGATCTTGTTTTCCACTGGGATGAAAGTGGGCGATTCGGAGCTCCTACGCCAAATACATGAGTGTATGAATGAGCCTGCCCATGGGCCCATGGCCCAATTTACAACTTGGATTATTAATGGGCATCCACATGTCAGGAATGCTGTGTGGTAACTGTATAATAATAATAAGCAAATAAAGGGATAGGTGAGTCTCAAAAAATTCAATAATCATCTATTTGTGTAATATGATAAATTCTTATTAAAATTAAAAAAAAATTATTCATTTTTAAAATTTTTTGATTTTATTTTGTCATTTTAAACATATAAAACATTATGCCTAAAAGTGGGATAAATAATTCATACAATTATTCCACTATTTCAACAATATCGCGTTCAAATCGAAAAAATAATAATAATAATATCGCGTGGTGGACTGTTTAAAGATCTTTGGCAAGAGCAGCTTCAACTTGGGCTTTGACAAGCAGTCTACAGCGCTACGCGGAGTAGACCCCACTCGCTCTTTGGAAGGAGGGTTCTTAACTCCACAGTCCATCCCACCCTTTCCAAGGATTTCTGAATGTCGCAGACCTGAAATTCTGCTTCCTTGATCTTTCAAAAAATTGATCCCAGTTTTGTTTGTGTAAAATAATTGAAAAATTATCAAATAATTATTTTTAGAGGTACGAAATCTTTTTTTGAGTTATTCTCTTGATTCCCAACTAAGTTTCATGTTCCAACTATCCATAGATGTTGAATTGTACTCCTTTTTTATTGAATGATATATGAGTATTGTTGGTAATAATAACAAAATTTATATAATAAAGTACAATATAAATTAAATCTCAAAAGATGAGCAAAATAACTTTTATTATTCGCGATTGAGATCTCTTTAAATTTTACTTTAAAGTTAATATGACGGCTAATATTAACACTCTAAATTTAATATAGAAAATAGGGTATTAAGGATGTATTTGGGATGACTTTTTAAAAAAAAAATTAATATTTATAATTTTTCATAAATACTTTAAAAAAAAATAATATTTAAAAACTACCTTATCACCACCAGCCCCACCACAATCACCACTTCCACCACCGCTACCCCACTACCACCACTGTTGTCACCTTACCACACCCATCGCCCCATTACCACTGTTATTACCACCACTACTGTCATCATTACGTCTTCCACAGCAACCACTACCACCTTCATTATCGTAACCCCACCACCAGCATCGTTGCCGCCACCGCCCCTATATCACCATCACTCCTATCACATCACCCCCGCTATCCCCTAACCACCATCACCATTGTCACCTATAACCGGTTGTCATCATCCCTCACAACTATCACCGTCTCTCGCCACCACCACTGTCGCCCATCGTTACTACCACTGCTCGTCCCATTATAACCAGTGTTTAAATTCTTTTATTTATTCTCTATCTTTGTAATTTGATTTTATGTGTAAATACAAATATATTTATTGTTAACTATTTTTTTAGTACTTTGTACCTTCAGGCACGGAGTATAACTAGTAACCTTATATATCACTTGTTTTTTTTTAGTGTTTATTTTTTTAAATATTCTTAATCAATGCTATTTTCTTATTAGAATGTATCGGTGGACCGATCCGTGCAATGCATAAGGTCTATAATCTATTATATCTTTTTATTTTTCTTTATAATGTTCCCTTTTTTTAATATTTCTATTTAAGAACCTGTCTTCCATTGTAACTTTGATCATCTCAAACTATTTCTTCATTATTGGTACCATCACCCCGTTGCTGCCACCTTATTATTATCATCGCTTTGCTATCACTGTTATCGATCAACCATCATCATCCCACAATTGTTACCCACTAACATCACCCCTTACACTACTACTCTCTTTGTCACCATAGGCAACACTTAATCGAAAAGAAATTACTATTGTCGCCTACACTATAATTGCAACATTCGTTCCATTGTTTCCACCATCCCATCCACTATCATCATCTAATTATTGTTGCCACAAGTTTTGTCATTAACACAGTCATCACGATTGTTGTTCACATTGGTGCTGCAATAACTACCATCCATCTTATCGGTGACACCACTCTTACCACTTGATGCCACCAATTTGCCTCTATCACAACCACCGCCATCAACATTTACTATGACCACATCACCATAACCACCCTGGTGTTGGGTGGCGGTGGATGTAGTTGTATGGATTATGGTAATGGGGGGTGGCGATGGTAGTTGACAAAATAGGAGATAGATGATGCGATAGTGGTATTGGGGTGTGATGGTGATATCGGTGGTGGATGGATATAGCGACGGCCGGTGGTGGAGGAAGTGATGGTGAGGTGTGACGACAACAACAATGATGTGTGCATCAGTCATAACAATTATGAAATTGTGGTGGTGGTAGTTGTGGGGATAAGATAGTAGTTTGTGGTATTTAAGATATTTAGTACTTAAAATGCATTTAAATTTCAATACTTAATAACATTGAATTATAATTTGATCAAACAACACCTTAATTAAAGATGGACAAAAAAAATACTAGAACAAGCAATAAGAATTTGTCTCGTGTAGGGTTATTTTCGCCCTTTAAATATATTAGTTATGCACTATGTGCGTTGCACGTGAATAAATTCAAATAATAAAAAATCATATTAGATTGTGAAAAACATGAATTATATGTGTAATTAAGCTAAGATTTTTTTAAAGTGTCCTAGTAGTTCAGAAGTTTTTTTAAATATCACCTTGACAGTTATATACTTTACTTTACTTAAGATTTTTCATTCTCATTTTCATCATACGATTTACTACAAATTCAAGTATTTGACTTGATAAACTATGCATTGTTTTCGCCAAAGAAACTGATTCTAATAAACTTGAGCCAAGTATTTGATTAGCATATCACACTCTATTTATTCCATTTCGTTCAAACACAACATCTAATGATCGATACCATAACTAATGTCATACTTTCTATTGATTATATGCAGACAACCAAAACAAAGATCAAAGATATGCACTAAACAAGATTAACAAGCTCCTCCTTGGCCTCTTTTCCTCGTGGCATTAAGTCTTGCACATCTATTCCCCTGTTTCATATGAGATGTCATTAACGAACAAAACAATCATAATTCATATGTCATTCCATCAACTCTCACTCAGTTGTCTATACATTAGTCAAATTTGATATTTTGAGCAAGAACCTCCTCATTTTGAATAATTAGTACCTCATAGTGGAAGACCACAATGACCAATTAGTTTCAAAAGGAAAACAATACCAACTAAGAAAATTAACCAAATGAAATTTTTGGTAGAAGGCAACGACCAACCATTATCTTGTATGGACAATGTACTTTTGCAATATGCAAGCTAAATGCATTAAGCAACATTTATGAAAAGAGAGAATAATATTGAGCAACATTAGTGTTTGCAGTGTGTGCAAGGATGAATCACTTGGGTTATTTTTATTATAAAATACTATCTATGGTATCTCCATGTACTTCAGCTTTTGCATCCACTTGGGTTATCTTCAAAATGGTAATCACACTTTAACATTCTTTCTCGTAGAAATGTTTGTGATTCAGACTTACTCTATTGAGACATTAATTTTGTATTTTTTGAAAAGGTATTGAGGCATGATGAGGGTGCCAAGTTCAGCCATAATATGTGGAAGAGATAGACCCTTATAAAGTCAGAATACCTTAAAATCATAGAAAACTAAGATATCAAAGTCCTGCAACTATAGAGGAATGTCAAATACAAGTTTTTTCAATGTACCTCAACATTTGTGTTTTAATAATGTCTCTTTGAGGTCTGAAAAACAGAGACGTTATAGGAAAAACATCCCGTGTAGCTAGAAAAAAGAAAAATCATGGAATGGGAAAAGTATGAAAGTGTGTGTGAAGAAGTCAAAATCTAACGATTCTAGGTACCTTCATTCGGTTATAAGTAATTCTTTTCATTTCACTAATGCAAGAAGCAACTACGACTTTCACATCGACATTTACATGCTTAAGAAGTTCATCAACAACAATGCCTTCATTAATGGAGAAAGTGTGGTTTAATTTTGGCTGCGACTGCTCCACCCACCTCAATAGGAAATTCTCAACTTGATCAAAAACACAGTTAAAAAAAAAACATAACATATGGATGCATTTAAAAGTACAACGGATGCATAATTTTTGTATAGAAATAATATTTACAGAGCATCTTCCTAAGCAAATTTTTCGCTGTCGGCAACACCTTTTAGAAAACCTATGTGAATATCTAAGGATTTCTTGCAAAACCGCCTTGAAGATATTGGTAAGGTAGTCGGCGGTGATAATATTCTATAAACTCCATCAATGGAACTCAAAAAATGTGATTATCATTACTCAACTTACAATTCGAGTATTTACATTTGGAATAGGAGGAGTTAACCAAGAGGGTAGTATGTAATTTGGTTATGTCATTAATTAATTAGGAAATTAAAATTTTTTCTCAAACTGTCCACTTGCTTATTTAGTCACTCCAAGTGACTTTCTGACTGCCCACTTTCATGTTTAGAATTTAGTAGTAATTAATACGCTCAATGAAAATCTATTAGGTTAACTGTTAGTGAAGGATAATATTATAATTAATTGATTAATTAAGTACATAATTGGAAAACAAAAGTTTTTCTCCTTTTATAAGTAGTATAGATATAGATATTTTTAATATCATTTAATTGATCTTTAATCTCAAATTATTAAATTTGTTCTATTTATACCTACCCTATTAGTGATTAAGCTCATTTCATCTATACTTATCCACTAATAACTAAGTCTACCGCACTTTCTCCTCATTCGTTATACATTCTAACCAGAAATTATGTATTTATCCCTCAAGGTGTGTGCGCATAATTGTATTGTTCAGTCACATTTTTAACTTATTACTTTTATCTCTTTATTTGTTAGTTACGTTATTATATTTTTCAATAGTACATAAAAATTATCAATTACATTTTAGATAGAAGACGCCATATGAATGATGTAGTTATGCTCGCATTAAATATTTAGGAGTAGATGGATAATCGGCTGAGTCAATTACAAACTTTATTGATGTAGTTGTAAAATAAAACACGATTAAACGTTTAAATAATATGTTTTATATTGTATTTTAGGATTTTAATGTGGGTTCTAAATGATATTTTTATGTTTTGTTTGATACTTATTAACAATATTTTTTATGTATAATATTATGTTTGTATATAGATGAACTAGTTATTCTTTGTGCCTAAAGGCACGGAATAATAAAAAAAAATGGTCAACATATTTGTATTTACACTAAAAATCAAATCACAAACATAAAATGAGAGATAAATAAATTTAAGCACCGATTATAGTAGAGGTGAGTGGTGGTAATGATGGTGGGTGATAGTGGTAATTGTGGGAGACGGTGATGGTTATGGTAGGTAAAGCGGCGACCGTGGTGGTGGTAGCTGCTGTGGGTGGCAATAGTGATGGTAGTGAGTGAGTTTTGAGTGACGATAATGGTAGTGACAGTCGTGGGTGGCAACGGTGGTGGTGGGAGTGGATGATGGTGGATGGTGGTTGGTAGTGGTGGTGGTGGACGATGATGATGATGGTGGAGGGTGGCGATGAGTGCTTCTAGGCAATAGTGTGATGGATGGTGGCGAATGACAGCAGTGGTAAGTGTGATGAGGGTAGGTGATAGTAGGTGATGACAGTTGGTGGTGGTAGGTGACAGTGGCTGGTGGTGATGGTGGACGATGATGGGTGGTGGTGGGTGTTGATGGTGGTTGAGGGATGATGGTGGTAATTGTAATAAATGTAAGAATAAAATGACGATGGTGGTGGGTGGTGGTCATGGACGATGATGATAGTAATCTGTGGTAGGTGGTGTTGGTGGCAGTGGGGCAATGAGGGTGGTGGTGGGGGTAGCAGTGGTAGGTTGCCGATGGTGGTCGTAGTTATGAATCTTATGATGGTCATGGGGGTTGTAAGGATGATAGTGGGACAATAACAGTGGTGATGATGGTAGGGTGTGGCAACGGTGGTGGTAGGGCGGTTGAAGTAGTGATGGTGATGGTGAGGTGGTGGTGGTAATGATTATGGTGGTGGTGGGACAATGGAAGTGATGATAGTGGTTGCAGCGACGGTAGTGGTGGTGATGGGAATGGTGGGATGGCGATAGTGATGATGGCAGTGGTGGTGGTGGGGGGTGGTGGTGGCAGTGGTGGTGGTAGTGGTGATGGTGGTGAAGTGGTGAGGGTGGTGGTAGAAGTAGTGGTAGGGTGGTTCTAAATATTAATTTTTTTTTAAAGTACTTATGAGAAATAATTTCTAAAAGTATTTTTAAAAAGTCATTTCAAACATACCCTTATGACCTTATTGTTTTTATTAAATTTGGGGTGTTAATATTAGTCGTTAGATTAACTTTAAAGTAAAATTTATAGCGATCTCAACTGAGAATAAGAAAAGTCATTTTATTTATCTTTTGAAATTTGAATTGTATTGTACTTTATTATATAAATATTAAAAATTTTTGATTAAGAGTTTGATTTTTTATTAATAATTGTGGTATAAATAAAGTGTACTTAATAATTATTGGAGTATATTTAAGGGGTAATAATAGCATCAAACATCCCTCTCCCCATACAAAAAGTATTGGATGTAACGGTTACATCATGTCAATAATGTTACAAGGTATGGTCGTTTACTAATGAGTGATTAAGTCTGCAAGTGGGTCTTACAAAAATTTATAACCACCGAGCCATGAAATTTTTTTTTCAAAAAAATAAATTTTCTAAATATAATTTCCAAAAGTTAATTCCACTTGTGTTATTATGCTGGAAAATAATTGACACGTTGAATTTTTATTTAATCTTAATACTAAGGGATTTCTAAACTATGTTGGTTTAACTCAAAGGGTAGCTCAAGTAATAACATAGACGAACCGTAAATTTAGACGTCATGAGTTTAAACATGTACAACTCTTTGAGATTCGGTTATGAGGATATCTCTCATGAATACTCAAATTCTAGTATGGATGGCGTGTCTGACCCAAAAAAAAAATTAATCGAGGTGTACATAAATTAACCTAGATAATATACACCCTTCACTANGTGGTAATGATTATGGTGGTGGTGGGACAATGGAAGTGATGATAGTGGTTGCAGCGACGGTAGTGGTGGTGATGGGAATGGTGGGATGGCGATAGTGATGATGGCAGTGGTGGTGGTGGGGGGTGGTGGTGGCAGTGGTGGTGGTAGTGGTGATGGTGGTGAAGTGGTGAGGGTGGTGGTAGAAGTAGTGGTAGGGTGGTTCTAAATATTAATTTTTTTTTAAAGTACTTATGAGAAATAATTTCTAAAAGTATTTTTAAAAAGTCATTTCAAACATACCCTTATGACCTTATTGTTTTTATTAAATTTGGGGTGTTAATATTAGTCGTTAGATTAACTTTAAAGTAAAATTTATAGCGATCTCAACTGAGAATAAGAAAAGTCATTTTATTTATCTTTTGAAATTTGAATTGTATTGTACTTTATTATATAAATATTAAAAATTTTTGATTAAGAGTTTGATTTTTTATTAATAATTGTGGTATAAATAAAGTGTACTTAATAATTATTGGAGTATATTTAAGGGGTAATAATAGCATCAAACATCCCTCTCCCCATACAAAAAGTATTGGATGTAACGGTTACATCATGTCAATAATGTTACAAGGTATGGTCGTTTACTAATGAGTGATTAAGTCTGCAAGTGGGTCTTACAAAAATTTATAACCACCGAGCCATGAAATTTTTTTTTCAAAAAAATAAATTTTCTAAATATAATTTCCAAAAGTTAATTCCACTTGTGTTATTATGCTGGAAAATAATTGACACGTTGAATTTTTATTTAATCTTAATACTAAGGGATTTCTAAACTATGTTGGTTTAACTCAAAGGGTAGCTCAAGTAATAACATAGACGAACCGTAAATTTAGACGTCATGAGTTTAAACATGTACAACTCTTTGAGATTCGGTTATGAGGATATCTCTCATGAATACTCAAATTCTAGTATGGATGGCGTGTCTGACCCAAAAAAAAAATTAATCGAGGTGTACATAAATTAACCTAGATAATATACACCCTTCACTATTAAAAAAAATAAATTATGTTGGTTTGACCCAACCGAAAAACAAAAAAAAAAAAACATAACATTGTAGAAATAAAAGTGACGAAAACGAAAAGAAAATATAGCAGCAGCCGATGGAGGCCTTCACCATCATTCTTATTGTTCAGGTCCAAGAGGCAATAACCATTAGGCTTCAACTCCTTCTGCCCTATTTTTTTTTTTTTTTGCAGACGTCCTTCTGTCCTATTCAAACTCGGGCTTTGCATAAGGTGAATCATGAATATTTTATAAATAAAAATATCAATGTTGTTTTAACTTATCTAAAAGAGAACAAGCCTTTCCAAGAAAACATGCCCTATTTCCAACCGAAAATCTTGGCTCTATTGCTCATAAACTGCAAATGTAAATAAGTAAATTTGCAAATCTAAGTAGTTTCTTTGTAAACTAATAAAGGAGAAGACCATCTAATGTTGTTTGTAATCTTGCATCAAAAGATTAACGTAGTTGACATTTTGAAAGAATCTCGTCCAAGTATTCATGAATTTGTTCAATTTAACATTGATTGTTTTAAATTAAAAGGGTTTAAATTAAGAAGCCAAAGTCGCACCTGAACCTCAAAATACATTAAATAGACAATTAGTTTGAAATTTCTTTTTGAAAAGTTTATCATTTTGAAAAAAGTCTTCCAACTATGTAATACATAATTATGTAAGAAAGTGGGGGTCATTTAATTAATTTTATAATTTTTTAAAATAACTATATCACATGACATTGTTGATATAATTTAACCATTTCAATCAATATTTACTTCTCGCCATAAGATGCATAAGTTTTCTATTAAATTTTGTCTATTTTTCTGAACAATTTTAGACAATGATGCCGTTGGTGCTGTGACCCCCCCTCCCCCTCCCCCTCCCATCAGTGCAGCGCACGTGTGATTACTACTTAATGTCTGTGCGCTTCTTCAACACCGACTACTGCATTCACTTCTGCAAATCCCTCTCTTTGGCTCCGTCGAGAAGCTTTCTATTTTGCTTTCAGATCTCAACGTCCGCCACCATGTCTTATCGGCCCAACTACCAAGGTGGCCGTCGAGGCGGCGGAGGACGTGGCGGTGGTGGAGGCCGCCGTGGTGGCGGAGGAGGAGGCGGACGCGGCGAGCAACGTTGGTGGGACCCGGTATGGCGTGCTGAGCGTCTTCGACAGAAGGCAGTCGAGGTATCATTTCCACACTGACACGCAAATAAACAAAACTAGACTTGCACAACGCACGTATATGGGGGTTTTTGCTGCACACATATGCGCGTGGCCGTGTGTGATTGTGAATTTATGTTTGTGCGTGCTCGAGTCCTTTGATTTATGCTTTTGCTTGTGAATTAGTGCTTGTGTGTGGGTGTAAGAGAGTGAGGGAGGGGTACATAGCAGGAAATATTTCAGCTCATGTGTATCTAGGGTTTTTTTTGCATGCGCACTTATATGCTTGCGGTATTGTAGAACGCGCGTGTGTGTGTAGGTATGCGTGCGTCTCTAAAAGTAATGGCGCTGATGTTTTTGGTTAGATGGAGGTGCTTGATGAGAATGAGTGGTGGGGGAAGATGGAGCAAATGAAGAGAGGAGGAGAGCCAGAGATGGTAATTAAACGGAACTTCAGTAGATCGGACCAGCAGATTTTGTCTGACATGGCTTACCAGCTAGGGCTTTACTTGTAAGTGTTTATGGGAATTGTCAGTCATTTATTGTGCCACGAAAAATTGACAGTTTTGGATTTCCTATTAGATGTATTGTGAACAGTACTCTTCTGAATTGTTGCTTAGTGCTAATGTTTTTATTGAGTCTTTTTTCTACAATGAATGGGCTAAATCCAATTTGCAGTTACTTTATCTTGAGAGTTCTCCAGTGCGCAATCATTGAAATTCATTCCTTGTTCATTTTAGAGTTGATGCATTGGAAACTATATCCTATAGGCTATAACTATGTCTTCTCAAAATTGGGTCTTGGGATCATTGGTTGAAGTTTTCCTTGCATAAAGACTGAGCCAGACTACAAATTAATTCAATTTATAATAAAGGGCTAACAATGTTTAAATATTCTGTTTTAAAAAATGAAACTATAGTTTGCTGAGAAAAGGAAGTAGGTAATTATAAAGAATCCAAAAGGAAGTAGCACAAATAAACGACTAGCAAAATCTGAATTAAATAATGGAAGTTGATATTAGTTTTTTTTTTGGAATAATTTTTTTTTTAATGATGGAATTTCTCAGTCAACTAGTTAACGGAAAGTTCACCCTGTTGTTTTAGCTGAGTAGCCATAGTAACGAGAATGTTGTTCGTATTAAAAAATAAAGTGCGTTGCCATGCCCATGACCTTGTGTATCAGTTTTCAAAGTGAATGTGTGCACTTAAATTTTCAATTTGGGAGCTTCTAAAATATTGTTTGCCTACTTCAAAAATTTTGCATTTGTGCTTTTATATTATATCAGTATATGATGGCAACCACAATTGAGCTTCGCCATTTGACTGTATTTTGTGGTTTTTGTGTTTGTTGAAAGAAAGCCATGCGTATAATAAAGGAAAGGCACTTGTTGTGAGCAAAGTTCCATTGCCAAATTACCGGGCAGATCTAGATGAAAGCCATGGATCCACACAGAAAGAGGTATGAATGACACACACCACATTTTGTTTTGTTGTTTATGATCATTACTATTCTTATTTTACTTGCAATAGAAAAATGTTCTGATATATGTTTGTTTTGCAGATACAAATGTCTTCAGAGACTGAGAGGCGACTTGGAAATCTATTGGACAGCTCGCAAAGGGTGGTATCTGTCAATAACACCTCTAGTGCATCTACTCGGGGAATACAACAATCATCTCGTGGTGTAGATATAACAAGACCTGCCTCAAGGTTGGAAATTGGTACAGCCAAGGAGGGACTTAGCATTGAACTTAAAGAGAGGCAGGAAAAATTGAAGGTGTATATGCTAAAATGGTCGATTATAAGATGTTTAGATGTTGTCCTTTAGCATTCAGCAATGCTGAACCTTTCAAGTTAATTGCAACTCGCAGGCAAGTGATAGTGTAAAGGTGATGCAATCTTTCAGAGAAAAGCTTCCTGCATTCAAAGTGAAGTCTGAGTTTTTGAAAGCCGTCACTGCAAATCAGGTTTGATTGCTATCTGAAATCTGAATTAAGATAACGGTGTCTCTTCATCCTACCATTTCTATTTATCAAGAATCTTTTTTTCGGATTGCTTGTATTATTTTGTATTCTCAGTTACACTAAAGTTTTCGTAGGTGGAAGCAAATTTAATCTTTTAAACAGGCTAAAAAAATACCGAAATGTGAAGACCAACAATTTTGATCTCCTAATCCTGTCTTATAAGTTTCCACTTTTGGTTTGAATTGCATATCGTTCATCAAAAGTTGAGAGAAGACGAGATCATTTTTTACGGAACATCCTATTCTATTTTTTCTGTGGATTTTTAGAGAATAACCATCAAATTCCAATATTATTTGGTTGCACTGGGGTTGGGGGGCACAATCTCAAGAGAGAAAAGAAATTGGTTAAAGATTACCAAAGGCCATATGATCTTTCAAAATAAAATAAAAAAATTGATTTTATGAAATCATGCCCTATGGTTCTCAACTTCTCTTGTTAATTCTCTGCATTGATTTCATTTTTCTTTTAAGATCCTACTTTTTCATCCACTCGAAATGTATCAAACAGATGTGGTTGCAGTGTCATGTTATAATCATGACCTCTTTGATCTCCAAATCGCTAAAGTAAGAGCTAAGAGAATAAAAGAAGGTTCTGTAGAAGAAAACCCCATGAATCTCCCATTTGCATGCATGCTTCAGTAATGACTATGTTGTATATTTTGTTTCTCCTAGGATGAAGGTCATGACTTTCATTAACTCCCTTCCATATGATTCAACTGATTCTCAATGTTTTTTGTCTTGGCAATATAGGTATTGGTAGTTTCGGGAGAAACAGGTTGTGGCAAAACAACACAACTTCCTCAGTTCATTCTAGAGGAGGAGATATCATCCCTACGTGGTGCCAATTGCAGCATAATATGTACTCAACCTCGTCGTATATCTGCCATATCTGTTGCAGCTCGAATATCCTCTGAAAAGGGAGAGAATCTTGGTGAGACTGTTGGTTACCAGATCCGTCTTGAGTCAAAGCGCTCTGCCCAAACAAGGTTGCTATTTTGCACTACAGGAGTATTACTTCGGCATCTGGTAATTGGTCACCACACACACTTTTTACCTTTTTAGATGCTGGTAATTATTTTGTTCTTAGATGTCTCTCTGTCTCTCCCCTCCCTGTCTACGCATATATGGAATATTTGTTCCTTGACTTGGAATTTGCTGTCTGTAGTGGTTAATGTCTATGTCATTTTCACATCTGGTTCCTAATTAATTTTTTAAAAGGTTTTCCTATCCGGTTCTGACCACAATGGCAGAATCTTGGTCTGTGATACATTAATTGGATCGTTTGTATAATGTCACTAGACAAACAGGTGCATAGTAATAATATAGGATACACTAATGGACCAAAAGTATTTTGTACCACTTGCAGTATTGTTCTGAAGTAATTAATTCTTGACATTAGCCTGTTAGGAAGCTAATAGGTTGTAATTCTGACCACGAATACACACTTGGTGATGTTATTTTCTGTCTTTCCTGTATACTCCAGGTTGAGGATTCAGAGTTAAAAGGGGTTAGCCATTTACTGGTGGATGAAATCCATGAAAGAGGCATGAATGAGGACTTTCTCTTAATAATTTTGCGTGACCTCCTTCCTCGGCGTCCGGATCTACGTGTTATTCTGATGAGTGCAACTATTAATGCTGACTTGTTCTCCAAATACTTCGGAAATGCCCCAACTCTTCATATCCTGGTACTCTTTTGCATTTTCTACCATGACCTGGACACTCATTTTGGGTTTGCTCAATGCAATTTGATTTTACTTTTCCTTTTCCTATGATATTTTGGTAGGGATTGACTTTTCCGGTGACGGAGTTATTTTTGGAAGATGTGTTGGAGAAATCTCGTTATAGTATCAAATCAGAGGGTGACAGCTTTCAAGGGAATTCAAGGAGAAGAAGAAGACAACAAGAGTCTAAGAAAGATCCTCTAACTGAAATGTTTGAGGCATGGTTATATCCCTCTAAATTGTTACTTTGAAGATATTATTGAGTTACTTCTTTTTGTGGTCATTTAATTATGACTTGGTTGTAAAACCGTTTCAGCATCCGTATACATATTTTCAATTTTATAATTAGTGCTGCAAGTGGTTCTGCTTCTCCTCGAAGTGACTGACTTGCTTTTCTGTTTGTTGCACTGGTTAGTTACTGCATGGCATTTCTAAACTTTGTGAAATAGCATACCCTCCTTCATTAGAATTGGTGGAATGCTTCAAATGGGATGGTTGAGTAATTTTTTGCGTAGTTCACCATAGTTATGTCTTCTTCCTTTTTATCACTGTTTATCTTAGATCTTTGAAGTAAACTTTAGGGCTTAGAGCATGTTTGGGATATTTAGAATTAATAGAGCTTCAAAGTTTTTTGCTAGCATTAATTCTTTTTATGCAAGCTTAAGTGGCGGAGTTTTTGTTGTGCGGCTCATGCTTTTCCTTTTGGATTATTTGGTTTCACTTCCGAGTGATGGAGGTAACTTATGGAAAATGATATTGGAATCTAATACTGTTTTGGTATATGCTGATAGGAACACCAGAAAACTTCTAGTATGTGTATCAATTGCATGCAGGATATGGTAAACTTATACTTCAGAACAAATGCTTTCCAACTTTTTCTTCTCTTATCATAAAATCAATAATTACCAGTCTTTTAAGCAGCCTTGCCAATTCTAAAATTAACTTTTTATCTTTTAAAGTCAGCAATGGAATTTAGATTTGAAGTCTTCTTCAATCCTACCTTGCACCCGTCTGGAGCGAGGTCTACTGCTGTTCTTTTGTTCTGGGTGTGGGGGTGGTATGCCCGTGGGGATTTAGACTAGGGACCATTCAGTTCGTGGAGAACTGTCAGTCCTTATAAGCATTAGGTGATCAGGAAGTCAATGTTCACTTAAATGGAAAGGTTGTAGTAAAATGTGGATTTGAAATTCCCAAAAGAACTGAATGCTATGCATTCAGTGTATAGAGCAGGTATGGTCTTTACATAATGCGTGAGATGCTACTGTTTTGATTAGAGACTGTTACTGTAGCCATTGGTGGTTTGTTTCTTTGGTTTTTGACAATTTCTTTGCTCTTGTATATGGCTGGTGGTTTAAAAGCGTCTGGAGTTACTACCAAAAGCTTCGACTATTCTGAGTACTTGATGTTGACGGTTTAAGTTCAAGGAAATCGTAATGTGACTAGAGTCATTGATTGTTTGGTCACTTTTCTTGTTGTGAAGCCCTTTTCATTCGTTCCATGAGATGCAAAAAATTGCAAAATGCATTGGAAACACAGAAAGATGGCTGATGTCTGCAAAGTCAAGAACTATCACAGAACAATCTGGTCAATGATCTGCAGTTGATGGTTCATCATAGAGCGGGATTGTTTGGTTTATTAATTGTTAACATTTAGCACTGAAGCTTTACCCTATGCTTAGAGTCTGATATAGTGGTTTATAAATTGCTGACATTTAATACTGATGCTTTACCATATGCTTAGAGCCAAAAAGATAGAATTTCACCCGCAAAATTAATTTTAGAATTCTCTCTGTATTTGTGCATTCTTGGATGTAAAACAGTCCCTACTTGGAATAATAACACGTGTTCTGTTACTATATTGTTGGACGGCTCTATTGATACTACGGAAACCTCTGTTTTGTTTTCCTGGTTTTACTATGTAATATTGGCTAATTTCCAACCCCGATACATATATTAATTCGATGTTGTATTACGTCCATGTAGTAGAACAATATTCCCCAATTAAGATTCATTGGGATTCGAGTGTAATTGCTTGAATAATTCTTCTATCTATCACATGCTTATTTCAAGTTACTTTTATTGTGTAGGACGTGGACATTGATTCTCATTACAAGAAATACAGTGGTAGTACAAGACAATCTCTTGAAGCTTGGTCCGGTTCACAGCTTGATTTGGGACTTGTACGTATCTTTAGATTTTCAGTAACCATTATGAAGCGCCTTTTTACATTTTTTTTTCTCATAAGAGACATGGTGCAAATTACACTGTTAAGCACTTTGACCAATGCATTGGTTCTTTTTTAGTTGTCGAAATTTGGACAGTACTGATAGGACTCGATCCTGGTGGTGGCTGAATGTGTGGATCCTTGGAAAATTGAATCATTATTCCTGAAAACTTATTTCCAGAAGCTCAGTATGGTTTTGATAGAGATTGCTTGATTTAATTGCAAAGCATTGAGATTTCAATTTTGAGAGAAATTTGATTAGTGGGTGTGCCACTGGCTGTACATGGTTCGTTGCCTTTTTGTGCTTCCTTTGGTTTAAGTGAAGGAGATCCTGTACCTCACTACTCTTTTTCTCATTTTAGATGACAATTTTAGCAAATCTTCCTTTGGGTTGTGTAGTTGTACTTCTAAATCAATAAAGTTGACTGAATCTCTATATCCTTCTTTAAATATGGGAAATAAATTAATAGTACCAAAGTTGTTGTCGGTTTTGTACGTTCAAGCTTCATTTTTTTTGATTATTCATTGCGGGATTGGCAGGCTATTTTATTCATTCATTTCCTTTGTTCTTTTTATTTTTAGGCATTTCCTTGTTTTTGCGATGCACTGTAAGCACGGAATTGTATTTGGTACAGTAAGCCACAATAGCAATGGCTTTAAATTGCTCTGTTAAAATATTAGGTCAGCATCATTATCATTTATTATGTAGATGAACTTTCACCTCCATTTTATCAGAGGTTTCGACTGTAGCTTGGTAATGTTTCTTCACATAAAGATAAACTAATTTCCTTTGTAGGTGGAAGCAACAATTGAACATATCAGCCGCCACGAAGGTGATGGAGCAATTCTTGTATTCCTCACTGGCTGGGATGACATTTCTAAGTTGCTTGAGAAAGTTAAAGCGAATAATTTTCTCAGAGATCCTAGCAAGTTTCTAGTCCTTCCTGTTCATGGTTCAATGCCTAACATCAATCAACGTGAAATATTTGATCGTCCACCCATCAACATGAGGTCAGTACTCAGCTAATTGCTGTATACTCAAACAGGGTAGTTTTTCGTTTCATTCTTTTCTATACAATGAACTGTATTTTAGCTCAGCCACCTAAAAGAATAATTTTGTGCTTAATTATTGCTGTGGTTAGTGTGTGGATCTATTTTATTCTGTGGCACACTGCCACAAGGGTCTCTTGCTTTTATTCTCAGTTGATTTGGCTGTCTTGAATTGGTTGGGAGACCCAAAGGGGCTGCGCCAAAATATATGTCAAGGTATCCAATGTTAGAGATGGGATAGAGTATTCATCTGTATCCCTTAACTAACGAAAATCAAAAGTCACTAATTTTGGATGACAATTAAAAGGTTTTCTGGTTGGATCTTTTCTTGTTGAATTCCTGAAGGTCGGCATCTAGGAAGTACATATACGGAAACGGGTGTCGTATTCGATACGATACAGACATGGGAATACGACAAAGTTAAAAAATATGGGACACGGGTATNAAGGAGATCCTGTACCTCACTACTCTTTTTCTCATTTTAGATGACAATTTTAGCAAATCTTCCTTTGGGTTGTGTAGTTGTACTTCTAAATCAATAAAGTTGACTGAATCTCTATATCCTTCTTTAAATATGGGAAATAAATTAATAGTACCAAAGTTGTTGTCGGTTTTGTACGTTCAAGCTTCATTTTTTTTGATTATTCATTGCGGGATTGGCAGGCTATTTTATTCATTCATTTCCTTTGTTCTTTTTATTTTTAGGCATTTCCTTGTTTTTGCGATGCACTGTAAGCACGGAATTGTATTTGGTACAGTAAGCCACAATAGCAATGGCTTTAAATTGCTCTGTTAAAATATTAGGTCAGCATCATTATCATTTATTATGTAGATGAACTTTCACCTCCATTTTATCAGAGGTTTCGACTGTAGCTTGGTAATGTTTCTTCACATAAAGATAAACTAATTTCCTTTGTAGGTGGAAGCAACAATTGAACATATCAGCCGCCACGAAGGTGATGGAGCAATTCTTGTATTCCTCACTGGCTGGGATGACATTTCTAAGTTGCTTGAGAAAGTTAAAGCGAATAATTTTCTCAGAGATCCTAGCAAGTTTCTAGTCCTTCCTGTTCATGGTTCAATGCCTAACATCAATCAACGTGAAATATTTGATCGTCCACCCATCAACATGAGGTCAGTACTCAGCTAATTGCTGTATACTCAAACAGGGTAGTTTTTCGTTTCATTCTTTTCTATACAATGAACTGTATTTTAGCTCAGCCACCTAAAAGAATAATTTTGTGCTTAATTATTGCTGTGGTTAGTGTGTGGATCTATTTTATTCTGTGGCACACTGCCACAAGGGTCTCTTGCTTTTATTCTCAGTTGATTTGGCTGTCTTGAATTGGTTGGGAGACCCAAAGGGGCTGCGCCAAAATATATGTCAAGGTATCCAATGTTAGAGATGGGATAGAGTATTCATCTGTATCCCTTAACTAACGAAAATCAAAAGTCACTAATTTTGGATGACAATTAAAAGGTTTTCTGGTTGGATCTTTTCTTGTTGAATTCCTGAAGGTCGGCATCTAGGAAGTACATATACGGAAACGGGTGTCGTATTCGATACGATACAGACATGGGAATACGACAAAGTTAAAAAATATGGGACACGGGTATGACAAGGATACGGCTATTAAAATAATATAATATATTTTTTAAATAATAATAGAGTTGTAATATATTAAAAATAAGGCACATATTATAACAATATTAATAATTAGACCTAGCAAATATTATTTTTTTGATTAAAATTGAAAAAGATCAAATTAAATATCCACTATTTTCATCAAACAACATTGCATCTATTAACATTCATAGGATATAAGTTACATAACAAAAGATATGTTAAAAAAAGTAAAAATCATACTCCTTTTAATAGTTAAAAGTTATTTTTTTTAATAAAAAGATTCTTGGCCGTGTCCTGGCCGTATCCTATCCGTGTCTTAGACGTATCTTGGCCATGTCTGACTGAATTCACTATTGAGGACACTTTTAGCTGTGTTGGACATGTGTCCGACACTGCCACGACACCCTTGTGGGAAGTATCCGTGCTTCCTTGGTCGGCATACATTGTTCACCTCCTTTGAGTGAACATTTGTGAGACGCATTATAGTTGAGGTCATATATTATCTACTGTAGAATTATTGATTTATTAGTTTAGTAGTTCCTCTAAGGTAATGCCTGCAGTATTTGGTCACATTAGTAATTAAGTGCATAATGAGTTTTGGTGATCAGCCCTTTGGCCCATTTAGTATCTTCTAGCTTCGTGCATGTAATTATTGATCTTCATTACAGTAAATACAGGGGCATAGTAATTGAATCAAATGGGCCCGTCTTAAGATTTTCCATCAGCATATGTTCCTTTAGGATGTGTGGTAAGTATGGGTGAACGGATGTGATACAGGAGCAGTTACATATTCACAAACCACTACCCACTTTTTGGAAGCCAAAATCCAAGGCTAGAGTTTTGCGCCCCAGAAATTATTTTAGGCTGACAATTTGTCCATGGTACTTTTGGGATTTGGGTTAAGTTGATTTCATTCGTATATACTAATCTCCATTTATTTCTGATTTTTACCTTTAATATCAAGGGCTTATTGCTGTATTACCTTGGCACGATACTGTGGACTAGGCAGATGGACTTCAAAAATGATTTTCTCTATGGTGTCTCTCTACACCGTTCTGATCTCTTCTCTCTTCAGCTTGTATGATCCCCTTCTTTTCTAAAATCTTGTCTCCTTGCTGATTATTCCCCTTCTTCCTAAATTAAATACAGTGAGAAGTTCAAAACCATTCTCTTCCAAAATTCTTGATCCACCAATTATTCCGCATCCTCAATCTAAAACACTAATTCAGATACCTTGTCAAAGTTCTAAACCTCTTGCTCGTCCTGCCTCGAGTGGGAACATGGAAGAGCTTGTGGCACCCGTTTCCCTTCAAATGTAAACCAAGTTAGGCTTCATTTGTTGGTTTAAATTTTTTTCGATGGTGTAACATATATGTATTCTTAACTTGGGCATAAGCTAGACCATTCATACCGCTGGTTGGGTATATATTTGGACAGCTGGTATTCCAATTTTGCAATGGTTTCATTGTCCTATATGGAACTCATGGTTTTATAAGTTTGTTGAACACACTACTTTATAGTATACATTTGGACAGCTGGTATTCTAATTTTGCATTGGTTTCAGTGTCCTTTATGGAACTCATGGTTTTATAAGTTTGTTGAACATACTGCTTTATATTTTAGTGGTTCTGCTTTATTATTATTATTATTATCATTAGTCAACTCCATCAATTGCTAACCTTTAATAATCCTTCCCCATTAATTTTAGATCTATTTAATCTAATTTTGCAGAAAAATTGTGCTAGCGACAAACATTGCTGAGAGTAGTATAACAGTAGATGATGTTGTATATGTCATAGACTGTGGAAAGGCAAAGGAGACTAGTTATGATGCTCTAAACAAGCTGGCTTGTTTATTACCATCATGGATTTCAAAGGCTTCAGCACACCAGGTATTTCTAACTTGAAATTGTGATTACATAGACCTTTCCAGAAAACATGATCATATGGGTGTTCCCTATTCATAGAATTATGGTGGGTAATTTATTAGTTACCTATTGTGAGTTTTCGGTTCATGTTTATTCTGGTGATTATATTACAGAGACGTGGCCGTGCTGGTCGTGTACAGCCTGGGGTTTGTTATCGACTGTACCCAAAATTGATCCATGATGCTATGCCCCAGTATCAGCCACCTGAAATTCTTCGAACACCTCTGCAAGAGCTATGCCTGCATATCAAGAGCTTGCAGCTTGGAGCTATTGAATCGTTTCTGGCTAAGGCGCTTCAGCCTCCAGATACTCTCTCTGTCCAAAATGCTATTGAACTTTTAAAGACACTTGGCGCTCTAGATGATAATGAAGAACTTACTCCACTAGGTGTGTAATATTGGACAGCTATATTATCACTTGAATATCCAGGTTAGAATGTTTTCGGTAATGCGGACTACTTTTACTTTATAGGACGCCATCTGTGCACTCTGCCTTTGGACCCTAATATTGGAAAGATGCTTCTCATGGGTTCTATTTTTCAATGCCTAAATCCGGCGTTAACAATTGCCTCAGCTCTTGCACATCGTGACCCATTTGTCCTTCCAATAAATAGGAAAGAGGAAGCTGATGCCGCGAAAAGATCCTTTGCTGGTGATTCTTGCAGGTTAGGTTATATGACTAATCCATGCTGCTTTCTAATAGCTTTAACAGAATCTTTTTGTCAACACTGCCGTTGATATGACTGAGGTAAAAATTTTCATCTTTTGATGCAGCGACCACATAGCTCTTCTCAAAGCATTTGAAGGATGGAAGGATGCAAAGCGCCACGGAAACGAAAGAGCTTTTTGTTGGGAAAATTTCTTATCACCAGTAACCTTGCAAATGATGGAAGATATGAGAAACCAATTTCTAGATCTTCTTTCAGATAGTGGATTTGTAGATAGATCAAGGGGTGCTAATGTAAGGTCTTATACTTTTTTACAACCTCTCTCTCTCTATCATGCCTGCGCGCGCACACACATGTACACGCATCACATGCACACTAGGAAGAAAGTAATATATTGACTCTCCATGGCTTTGAAGATGAAGTGCTCTTGTGCTTTGCACTTTTTTGCTAGTGTTCATTGAACTTTAGATTGGTTTTTAAGAAACTTGGTCACAGTTCAGCTTTGGACACCAAATATCCTTTTCATTTGTTTTTACTGATAATACACTTGTTCAACTCACTCACCAATGCTCCAACCTTTTTACTGATAATACACATGATCATGGACTAGAACCTAACTTGTGCAGGCTTATAACCAATATAGCAATGATTTGGAGATGGTGTCTGCTATCCTTTGTGCTGGGCTCTACCCAAATGTTGTGCAATGCAAAAGAAGAGGAAAGCGGGCAGCACTGTACACCAAGGAAGTTGGAAAAGTCGATATCCACCCTGCATCTGTGAATGCTGGAGTTTTTCTTTTCCCCCTTCCTTACATGGTTTACAGTGAGATGGTGAAAACTACCAACATTTACATACGAGATTCAACAAACATATCTGACTATGCTCTCCTTATGTTCGGTGGGAATCTTATTCCTAGCAAAACTGGAGACGGTATTGAAATGCTTGGAGGGTACCTGCATTTCTCTGCATCAAAGAGTGTGTTGGAGTTAATAAGGGTGATGTATCTTTGGAGTTTCTCTTTCTTTCATTGTCTCCAACATTTCCTTCTGCCTTTTGTTTACAAAGTTATTGTTTCTAACTAGTTAGAAACCAACAGGAAGATAATGAAGGGTTGATTTTGCAATGATATTTTGCAGAAACTGCGAGGGGAGCTTGACAAACTTCTAAAGAGGAAGATCGAGGAACCTGGTCTGGACATCTCTATTGAGGGTAAAGGTGTAGTTGCTGCTCTGGTTGAGTTGCTTCACAGTCAGAATGTACGGTACTAATATCTCTGTATTTTCCCTTGACCTTATAAGTATATTTTTTACAATTTGTTTTATGTACCTTCATAAACAAATTAACGGAAAACCTGAAATATTTAAAGCTTCTGTACATTTACCATAAATGCACTCTCAAAATTAGGGGTGCAACTCCGGCGGGTTGGACAATCAATCCTAGCCCAACTCTAGATATACAATCTTCAACCTTAACCCTAATCTTAACCTTACCTCGGGTTAGGGAACTCAACCCGAGCACTGCCCGAGTTTAATTCGGGCGGGTTCGGGTTGAATTTGGGTTGATGATTTCGGGTTACTTTATGGGTTCAATTTGGGTAGAGCCAAAAATAGACTTGTTGTTCTAAACCTAATACATATATTACATAATATTCACATAAATTAACAACCAATAACTTCAACCAAGTTTTTAATAAGAGAGGCTAAGAGAACGATAGAACAAAAATGAAAAATCAGTGTTAATGTTTTATATATATATATTTTTTTTTTTTTTAATTTGTCGGGTTCAGGTTGAACTGGGGTGCATGAGGCCTTAACCTGAGCCCAACCCAAATTGAATTCGGGTTGGAGTTTTTTGACTCAAGCCTAATCTAAGTATTAAATACCCTTGCCCAGGCCCTAATTTTTTCGGGTTGGGCTCGGGTTGAAATCGGGTTGCCCAGCCCAAGTTGCACCCCTACTCAAAATTAGACTAGGTGGTTTTCGTTTTTCTTTGGAATATTTCATCATATATATATATATGTTGAGAACCTGATGCACAAGTTCAGGCAGAGCTCTGAGTTATAATGGAAGAATTCTTTTACATGATCATATTACATTGACTTGTTTGTATTTTTCCTTAAATCTATATTTGATGCACTTGTATTCTCTTTGTCACACTTAATCTCGAGGTTGTAAAGCTAAACAGTGACCGAGCTCCTTAACCTCATTTTGACATGTTAATGTCTGAATTTCTCCATTTTATGGTATGAGGGTTGTGTCACCAAAGCAGCCTAGGATGAAGGTGCCAGTATTGGGCTTGTTATGAACATATAATTTAATTTCTAGGACATTCTTTGACACGTGTTGTTCGCCATATTAGGTGTCTGCATCGGGTGAAAAATAGAGATTTGAGGCAAGTGGTCACTGGCACTACCTGACCTCAGGTCGAGCCTAGGTTAAACCCACTCAGACAAACCCACTTTGCTTCGCTTGCTTCAAGTAAATATGATGTAGAATACGAGTTTTTCGTTTTGTGAGTTAAAGCAGATAGGCTTTTGATAGTTTGCATTGTAACTAGTACAGTGGGGTTCCTGCTTTTCAATTGCTTAAGGCAGATGAAGATATTTGAGTAGTTGATCTCAACTTGTTGCATAGTCAAATTCATGTTTATCAATCCCGAGGGTAGTTCAAATAATAACAGAGATGAGCTGTAAAGATTTCAAATCTTGGCAACCCTTGAGGTTATTTTATGAGAGATTCCTCTTTCATGAATATCTTAATTCTGTGGATTGCTTATTTTTAATCAGATAGAGGAGAGAATTAATTAAAGTGTGCGTAAATTGGTTTGAATGTTCTGACCAAAAAATAAAAAAAAATAAAATCATATAGGTTTGGCTTTGGGATGTCTCGTTTTCCATGCCATTGAACCGGCCAACGAGTTCACCAACTGAATTAGGTGGAAATTGAAAAACCAACAAGAGCATTGGAGATGGCAAGATCATGGCAATAGCTATAAGTAGGTAAGATAATTTTAAAAAGGATCCACGAATTTAATATGAAAATAATGTAGAATTAGTTAGTTTAGGTTTTAGTTTGGATGTTCAACTCAACAATTTGTGGACTTGTTATACCCATCTAGTAGATGAGACCGTATAAACTTGGTTAAATATAACACGAATTTGTCAAATACGATTGAATACGAATTAGATAAATTTTGACACCACACGACCTAGACACTATTATCTTAGACAAATGCTCTGTTTGGTATGATAAAAAGTTAGAAGGATGAAAAATTGAATGGATAGATAAAGTCATTAAATAAGGTCCAAATAACATTTTCCTTTTAAAATATGCAGCAACAATGCTCTCAATCTCATCCTGGCTTTCACGCCACTTTTGTTGCTCATTTTTTAGCCTGTCAATACGATTTTTTTTTGTTTCTGTGTGATGCCCAGGCATGGAAAAAGGTGTACTTTCGATCCCCCTTTTTGAGCCAGTTAATCCGCGATCTTTGCCTCCAATAAGTTTCCTCTTGGTCTATCAACCCATCCAATTCCATTTTAAGATCATGTTGTTTTACTGCTTTGGAAATCGATCCTTCTTGGAGGCCCTCAAGCTGGTTCGTCAAATTCACGATTTTGGCTGGCACTGAACCCACATGCTCTTTTTTTCACTTAAGCAAACCTACTCTGTAATTCTGAATGTTCTTAATCAAGCCTAGAGTATCCATTTGTGAAGCCGCTGCATTCCATGAACTCTTAATTACCTTTTCAGTCATTTCTTTTGACCCACGTTACTTCAAAATGAAACTTTTTTCTTCGCCTTGAGGGTGAAACAATTGGGTCAATTGCCTCTGTATCAATGAGAATTTTGCAATGATCTGAAGCATTACTGAACTTATGGTATACACGAACATTAGGAAATAAATCTATCTACACATTATCTGCACAGGCACTGTCTAATCTCTCCCAGACTGTTTGTGGTGATAACCAGTTATTGCACCCTGTAAACTGGTAGCCGGCGATGTCTAAACCCTTCAAAGCGGTAGTCCAGATTATCTCTAAAAGCTCTCATTTGCCAGTTTGGTTGATTTCTTCCACTCTCCTTCTCTCCAATTGAAAGAATTTCGTTGTAATCCCCTACACATATCCATGGTAAATTACTTTGTAGACGTAAATGACGTTATAACGCCTAGGTTTTTGAAAGCTTTGGTGCATCACGCCCGCCATTAAAACCAGTCAATTGCCACTCCCCTTGCCTATTGTTCCCAGCAGCATGAACATAGGTATGCCTTCAAGAAAAAGTTTGTAGAGAAACTTGTATATCCTTCATCCACAACAAGGCCAAACCTCCTGCCAACCCATTCGATTCCACCGCTATTCTGTTCATCCTTAGTCTCAATTTGATCCTCTCAATACCACCAGCATTACACTTTGTTTCAATCAAGAACACAAAGTCGGGCTTCTCCTTCACAAATTCGTGAAGAAAATGAACTGTTCGAGGATGCCCAATTCCTCGACAGTTCCAACTTAAGATTTTCATCGCAATCGGCAGGTCTGGAGACCATAACCTGCCGTTGGAAGTTTTGGAACACTAACCTCATCATGGATTTGTATTGATTGTGTAGACAATTTTTGCTTCGAAGACGGATGTGCTTCTGCTTCCATAGCCAGAACTACTGTTTCTGCCTTCCTCTTAGAACCACTCGACTCAAGTTTTGAAGATTTGAGCGAGGTACAATTGGCCCGAGCCTGCCTCTTCCATTTCTTTAGGTTTTGTCTCCCCGATTGCTATTCCCTTTCCTTTATCTTCCATTTTCTATTTTTAACTGGATTGGGCTGAACTAATGTTGGGCTCATGAAATGAATGCTTTGTTTCGAATGGATGTATGTTGCTTAATGGACTTGGGAAGAATTTTATCCTCACCCTAATGTGGATGTAATATATCGGGTATGGGTGGGTTTTCCCGCATCAGTTTGAATTTTTCCAGCAGATATATCCATTGTAGTATCATCCAAGGAAACCAATTGAATGCTTGATTTACCACCTATCAACTCTGTATTCTCTCCCGAATCTTGGGCTTTGAAATCACTTAAATCCATGGGTGTACTCTTCATCATGCCCTCAATTAGTGGCTCGATAACCGCCTCCTCCGGGGTAGAGGAGGAAGTCATCGCTGGTGATATGCTTTCAACTCCGATCGTCTTATCTGCGTTGCTGGCTCCTAGATTGGTTTTATGAATCAAGGGACCTATCTTGGGTTTCTCTCCATTGGCTCTCAACCAATTACCGAATTGTGAATGTTCATGGTTGGAGAGGTCGTGTGAACTTAGTCTCTTCTCTCTCTACCAGTCCTTGAACCCACACCTGAGGGTCAGAATTTTAGATCCACAACCACCAAATTAGAAGGAAGGCCGGTGTGTCACCGGACAGTCTCTCTGCCCATGTCCAAAATGACCACAATGAAAGCAGATGTTTGGCAATCGTTCATACTTGAAAAAAACTGGGAAAGATTTACCCTCCATTCCTTTGACATTCATGCTCCTAATGAGAGCTTTTGACACATCCAAATCTACTCTGATACGCAGAAACTTTCCCCAACCAACACCCTCATTGTTCAAGTCAGCTTGTAGGTATGTACCCATTCGATCCCCTATGAGTAGCCAGATTCATACTGTTAAGATGCAGGTTATAGACTTGAATCCAGGATGGGCACCGACTAATTTGTACCTTTGACACTTGTATATTGCCATCATATTCCTTTAATAGCACAAGATGATTATCAAACGACAATGGCATCCCTTCAAGCACCCTTCTCTCGTCCAGCATATTAGTAAACTGAGTTAAGAACAAGTTATCAGCCAAGTCTTTGACTACTGTGCTCGGAGAGTTCCAAACCAATTTCATTGTGCTCTTAAAGGCCGCCTTAGTGAAGGGTCTATCCGTCGGCAGGCTCCCGAATAAACATAACTCACCCTTCTCATTCAAAATTCCATCATCATTATTAGCAATTTGTAGATCTGATTGTTCCTCCTCTGAGAGTTTAAAGGACAACCACAATTTCTCCATCTCATCTTCCATAACCGACGCTCAGACCACACAACAGAGATACTTTATAACTGCTCAAGCGATTAGTGGGCAAAGAGTCTGAAGAATATGATTCAAAAAGCCGAAATGAAGAAACAGATTCGATGAAAGGCAAAAGAGATGAGGCGAAGAAGCGGATTCGATAAAAAGAGCCTCACCAATAGAAACCCCAATAATCAAAGAGGATATAAAGAAAAAGAAATTCAGCACTAAGATGTGGGATTGATTGTAACTAATGATGACTCTTAGCTGATATGAGGACTTGCATCAGGAAAGCCTAAGGAAGACGGATGCTCTGTACGAACAGAGAGAAAATCTCTAACGAGAGAGGACATAGGTAGCAGATGACTTCACTCAAAAGTGTTTGTTAAGTGCACATTTTGGTGAATACAATGCGTAAGATGTCCAAATACAATGTGGTGTCATTAACATTGCCACATGTTGTGGGGAGCTCACCACACACACACACACACACACACACACACACACATATATAATCTCTGGCTAATTTACTATTTAATTCGATTCTAACAGTAATACTAATAAGATATAGGGTGGTTCTCCTTGCTGGCCAAACAACTAATCAGGAATCCTTAAGGTGGTCTAGTTTTTGAGTCTTTTTGGTAACCCAAAAGTTTCAGGTTTAATCATTTTTTGCCCTCTTTAAGGGATAACCACCATTGTCACTTTGGGGCATGTTCTAGACTAGTTCAAGTTACGGTGGTCAGTTGTTGAACTTGAGAGAGTAGTTAGCATAAACCTAAATATTCTGTAGTAAAAAAAAACCAATGAGAGAGATAAATTGCAAAATATTGTTAATTAATGAAAGAAAATACACATTAATTGCAGGTTCAATAAGGGTTGCCTTGATGTTTCCGTCTCTTGCCTACCAAAGCAATGGTTTGGAGTTCTTGTCCATTTATCCCCCTAGAATTGAGCAGAATTTTTGAGGTTGAAGTTCGGTGGTGCACAATCCAGCAAAATTAAAACTCCGAGACCGATGATACATATTAAATTTAATGATTGTACATTTATTGTGTCTTTTGAATTCAACACAACTTCAAAGGAACTAAATTTGTGGGTTGGGGTGTAAATCAGAAGAGGAGGGTTGAGAGGTCAACGTAGGCTTAGTCTAAGCTATAAAATCATAACGGGATTCAACTCAAACCCTTCAACTCGAGTGTAGTTCATTTTAAATGTCTTAAACTTGGGTTCCACAATTCTGATTAAAATTTATGGTGAGTTTGGGTTTACTTGGCGTTGAACCCAAATTTGGCTCTTTTAAGTTATACAACGTGAAATATAATGCGGGTTAAATTTAAATTCAATTTGGGTTGATCCGAATTCAAACTCTTGATCAAATTGATTTGAATTTATTAATCATGGTTGGTTTAGAGAATCGGAGATCTCAATTCTGATATTGTTTGAATTTAAATCGAGAAGGATTTTTCACCCCAAACTAACCCATGTATTGAAAATTTTTGTCCAAAAAATATAATGAATATTTTCGATTAAACCCATATAAAATTCAAATTGACCTATATCCAAATTGTAACCCCTCCTTGTCATTCGGCTCTTTTGCAGAATGTACATGGCAAGTAGGTCCAAATTGAGCAAATTCATCACATCTTCAAGTGGCGTGCCCAACAACTTGACAACTGGGTTGGTTGTGAAAATCGCAGGCTTTCAAATATTGTGAGGAAAACCCAACAACTATATACACGGTCATACACGTACTTAAAAGACAAGATGAAATATAAAATTCGAGTGTTTAAAAAATTAAATTTTAATATATCAAATAGTAAAAATTTTATTTTTTTGTTTCTCTAATTACATTATTTAAAATTAATTTATATCTTTTTTTTCTATAACGTCAATTTTCTCAAAATATATAACCCGACAAATTTTTTTCAACATACGTATATTGTCATGTATGAACAAAGAATGAAATAAAAATTATGTTAAATTACAAATTAATCAAATATTAAATAATTAAATATGTGATAAAATTGAATAATGTGATACTTTTGGAAGAAAAATATGTAGGAGATTAAATTTAACTTTCTATTTATTTCATTATATGTATATATATATATAAAATAAAACAAATAGCAATTTAAATTTTTTCCCCTACATATTTTCTCCCTAAAAACATCACATCACTTATTTGTAGCATATGTTCAATTATTTAATATTTGATTAATTTATAATTTAATATAATTTTTATTTCAAATATTATCCATATAAAATAATATATACATGTTAAAAAAATTTAATATAGTAGGATCGATTTTTTAGGCACTTAAATTTTATATTTTATCGTATTTTCGGACACGAATTATGACTTTTATATATATATGGGAGTGAGTGTAGTGTTTGAGTGGCAGCAGTGTGGTCATCCATGTAGTCGATGTTCAAATATGGAAATATTATATACGGTTAGACATCTACTTCAAAAGAGAGAATCCATTTCAAATAAACTACACATTTATTTTATAGGAAAGATGAAAAGAAGAAAGAAATAAATTTGAGAATAATTCGTGTTTGAAGACACCGTACAATTAAAAAAAAAACGAGCATTAAAATTGGGTAGAAAATAATCAAGCACTAAACTCGAACGCTAACACACCTGCACTTTACATATATCAATATCACGATTTACCAAGGTCCTTTTTGTTTCATATTAAAGAAAAATTGAAATCAGTATAGGAAATTTTAAAATTTTCAACACAGTATTTCATGAAAATATGATATTACAAATATATCAACCTGTTTACAAAATTTCATAATCATACCAACTATCACAACAACATTATAACAGGTACCAACTACCATAACAACATACAATATTCATCTTTGGCGAAACACAAATTTCACTAATTGACCAAGAAAATCATTATAATTAAAGCCATCGCATATACATGAAAGTTATAAGATTTCATTCATTGAAAACCACACTAATTCTCATAAACTATATCAAACAAACCCTTTCAATCCAAACAAACTCACTTAGAGTGTCATAAACCCTACTAATTCAATTTTTACTCATTCCATTCTCACCAATCTAATTATCATCCAATCCAACAGTTGCAATAAGTGAAACTACAACCATGACATCATGCCAAACATTAAAGATTAGTTGAAGTCATTACGCTTCTAATCATTTAGAAACTAATCTTAAAAAATAAAATTCTCATCAAATCAAATCTACTTACACAACCGAGTTCAAATTAGTATCTCTAGCAAATTAACAAAATTATGAAAAAAAACAAAAACAAAATAGCACTTCCAACTCTTTGTGGCCCACCACTGTCAAAAATAACCCCACAACCATTCACACAACATAACCACCAAGATAACAAAAACAATGTAGCAAAATCCACTCAAACATAAAATTCCCTATTCAAGCACAAAAATATCCCATAATCATAATTCCAATCCGTAATATTGTAACAAAATCCAACACTAATTCCAATAATATAGATAGTTAAAATAATCACTCAAAAGACAACTACGATGAATTCATAGGCAAATACCTCGAATTATGATTTCTTCCGCATGATCTACTTTGAATAGACGCCTCAAATGTATGAGCAAACCCCCAAAAGTCAATCATTATTTAGCAAATAGTAGTAAAATTTGGAGTTTAAATTTTGTGTGTTTGCATGAGAAAGAGAAGTAGTGTATGTGTGCATGTGCAAGGGGTTACACGTGTATATGAGAGAGAGAAGTAGAAGGGGTAGAGTGGGGTCTATGTGGGTCTGTGTGTTTTTTCGCAGAAAGAGGAAAAATTGGGTGAGGGAGTTGGCATCAGGGAAGAGAGGGAGAAGCAAAAGGGGGTAGGGGTTTGCAAAGACAATAGAGGGAAATGTTAGGTTTTGGAGAGGGGAGAGAAGGGAGAAGGGTTTACCTGTGGTGGTGCGGTGGCATAGGTATGTGATGGAGTATTTATGAAGAACAGAGAAATAAGAACAATAGAACGAAGGATATGTACACATTATCCATTGATGGAAGGAAACGAAAGGCCTTTACAAAATCACAAAATTACACATGAAAATGCCTTGGAACTCGCGAAAACGATGGAGAAAAATTGATGTCATAAGGCCTTTAATTCAACTTAAAATGAATGCACATAGACACATCAAATATGATATTAGAATTCCACTACTATGCAATCATTTGTAATAGGCCGCTTGTTAAGAAAGGAAAAACTTTAATCGGCAACTTACTGTTATTTGGCACAAAGGAAAGAAAAAAAAAGAATGAAGTGATAAGCTCAAACTTAGCCCCAGGTCTTAAAATTAGGAAACCCAAAGCAACTTATTGCCGCATGTTTTGACTTTACCAACTCAACAATGCATTTAAGGCCAATAACAGATACATTTTAATTGTTATACCTTTGCTATGATCATACACATAGGTCAAATGTTGTGGAATTTTATAGAGTTTATAAATTTTTTTAACAAATAAAAAAGCAGATTAATTACATCACAACTACTAATGCAATTCAAACACATTTGCATCCTTGGATCAAGAAATGTTGTAAATTAAGTATAGCAAAAGAGGTTTTTAGACTCCATACTTACATGGATATATGTGAAGTGTTTCAGCTGCTACAATGCAATTCATATCAAAAAGGTAATTTACATACCAGAAGCTGATCTTTTTACATGAAGGGTATTCTCCAAATTGTTAGACAGCTAAAACCAGCATAGTCAAACCCTCTAAATAGATGCAAATGCTCTAAGCCACTGCAAAATTTAAGAAAGGGCCTTAATAATTGAGAGAAATCTAAATTGAAGACCAAATTCTTGACAGGATTATGATGCGACATTACCAATAGGAATAGAAATAAACAACAATTGATAAAAAATTGCAAATTATTTTTCCAAAAAAAAGATTAGAAGAAACTAAAAATATATGAGCGGGCTACTGGTTCATCCTTTAAATAATAGTTTACAATTTTATTATTGAATCACACACAAACTAATACGCACTGACTAACATAAAATTTATCTTAGCACTTCAATGGACCGCACTTTGTTACCAAACCAAAAACCATCACACACCTCTTTATAAATATGGATTTTTTTTTGTTGCATAGTTCCTTCAGGCATGGACATTAGCTAGACTCAAGTTTCACACCTATTCACTATGTTAATGAAGGGTATGTCCACTTACTGAGTGTATTTGAAAACACAATGAAACTCAAAGTTGTTACATAAAATATAATAATGATCTTAAACTAATAAAAAAAACTTCCTCGAGAACAAAAAAGCAAATAAAAAAGACCAAGAAGAGATCTTTGTAATAAAATTGAATGAAAGTTGTTACCTTCATTGGCTTAATTTGGGTGGAGCACTGCAGTCATTCAATTCATCAAACACCTAAATGGGCAAAAACAATTCAATGAATTAAGAATGGTTAGTACCATTATTAGCTTTAATTTCATTTCAGTAAAATTAAAGCTAAATTGATTCATGGCTGTGGTGTTACAGAGCAAGGTTCTAACCAAAGTTAAAGCAAAGAATGATAATCGTGTGCTTGGCTTCCAATCAATTGAGCAATTAAGTTTGTCAAATCCTCTTCGCTAAACTGCATATGTGCATGGAAAAAAAATAGCTACCAAAAGATTGATTTCAGGTAAATGGATGGTTTTGAACAAAAAAAAAGGTAAATGGATGGTAATTTAACAAACAAATGAGAGAGAAAAATAAACAAATGAAGTGCTTAGGTAGAATTGAGCGAAAACTCTCAGAAATTTTTTGTCAACCATGCGGTATATATGGTTGGTGGGTGGAGGCGCTGGCTGGAGATGTGTGTGGGATTGAAGCGAGAGAGAGAGAGAGGGTGGGGGGGAGCATCACTGGTGAATGTGGATATGGGTCTTGGTTGTGAGTGGTGTGGCGTTAGTGTTGTTGGTGTTGCAGAGACAGTGATAAGAAAGAGAGGAGAGAGAAGACAGAAGGTTGTGGGACTGCGAGAAAGAGGATTTGTAAAATTTGAAAAATTTGGGGAGATGAGTTTCACAGAAATTGAAATAGAGAGTCTGAGAGAGGTCTAGGTGGAGGGGAGGGGGAGTTGTGCTTGTGCACAGAGAGAAGATGGTAGGTGGATGGGGGTGTGCGTGTGTGTGGAAACAGAGGGTTTGGGGAGGAGGTTCATAGAGGTGGAAGGAAGGGGAGGGTGGGGGAAAACAGGGGGATCGCAGGTTAAGGGGATTACCTGAGATAGTGGCTTGGCGCTGGCGGTGGTGCTGGTATGCAGTCACGGTAGCGCTGTGGCAGTGGCAGTGGCAGTGGTTGTGGGATGAGGGAGAGAGAAAAAAAGGGGGGGGCTATAAAACCAGTGAGGTCGTGAGGAGTCATGAGAGGGAAGAGAGAGAGAGAGTGAGCTTGAAAGGTTATCTTTTTTAACGTCTTCATCAACGGCAGGGTGATGGGACAGAAATGGAGGGGAGGGGGGAATTTGTGGGGAGTGATTTTATACCATTAGATTAGTTAAATTAATCAGGACCACTCTTTACGTAGATATATTTGTAAATTAAGGCGCTATGTTATTTTATTAAATTTAAAATATTAATATTAATCGTTAAATTAATTTTAAAATAAAATTTAAAAAAATCTTAATCACAAATAATAAAAATTAATTTATTTATTTTTAAAATTTAAATTATATTATATTATATTTTATATATATTATATATATAATAGAGGTCTCAAATCATTTCATCCATCTAACGACTCCACAATCTTTCACAATATTATATTTTTTCTCCTAAAATCATAATTTTTCATCTACAATATTTTTCAAAATTTTGACTCTCTCAGTCACCTCATCTGTCAGACTCCCCCACCGACACCAAGCCATCCCTTCTCTCAGACAAGCCATGCCCTCTCTCTCTCTCTCTCTCTCTCTGTTACGCTCCAATGACGCCACCAGGAACACCACCACCATCGCCACTTCGTCTGCAACACATCGCCAGCTACACAGCCAGTGCCACCACAGCCACAGCCACAGCCACCGCCACCGCCACCACCACACCCCTCCCAGGTATCCCTCTTCTCTACTTCTCTCCACCCCGACCCTCTGCTTCTTTCTCTCCTCTGCTTTCACACACACACAATGCATACACATGCTAACACACCCATCAACCACACACTCACACATAAACTCATCACCCATACATACACAAAAAAATAATTTCAAAATTAAGGCTGTTAATTGGAGTAAATTGATGTTGTTAATTTGTAGTTAATAGGATTGTGGCTCTTCCTCTCTGTCTTCATCTCTGCACACACACACACAAACCTCTCTTTACTCCACCAACAAACTCTCCAAATGTTCGATGAAAGTTCTGAGAGAGCTTTGATCTGTATTGTGCATCACTCTTAAGGGAGTAATGGAATCTGAATTCATGGAATATCAATTATGCAAGTGCAGTTCTTGAAAAGTTATCATGTGATCTCCACCTAACATCATGCCTATTTTTGACACTGCACCTATCTACATGCATTGATTGACAATGTTAAACTACATTAATGTTTTATTATGGAACTGATCCACTGACTCTGTTCTCTTTCACCTGTATCTGGTCACCATGTAGCTCATTCTCGCCATAGAAATATAGCCAATACTCCCAGTTGCAAAGTTACTAATGCGGTGGTGGAATGTTTCAAGAATTGATCTTCAACTGGATTATAGAATCATGAAAGCTGCCCAAGAACTGTCTTAAATAGACACCCAAAGGGAATTACCATCTGGGTATGTCAATTTCTGCGTTTTGTGTGAATAGTTGAGCTATTTTTTTTTTGGGTCACTGTTTGCACAGTGCGCTGATGCTATGAGAATTGGAATTGATCAATTGGGTTTCTACTGACTCATCTAATGCGAAAGTCATTATGATATGGGCCTCCGCTATCCTTCTCACAATGTGAAATGTAGCTAAATGGTACCTGTCAACAGCTTAAGGTGTCTGCAATACTGATCTAAGCTAATCCTTTTTTTTTGTCTGTATAAGCCATTTAGACCCTGGATTTTGAACTGTTTATAAACAAAGGGCTATTCAATTATCAATTTCCTTTAGTTTATACCTACCCTTTGCATTAGTTGTACAAAGTGGTTGCCTTTGAGATTTGAGTTTGACACTTTTACGACCACTAGACAATGGTTCTGGTGGAAGATGTGCAGTCCACTTGAACATATTCATCTGCGACCATCTTGAGCGTGTTAAGAAATTGGTAAAAATGCTTTCTAAGTAACCTATCAAAATAAATCACACAGATTACATAATTGGGAAGCTCCTTTCATTGTACTTCTTACCCCCAAAAACTTCTATTGATGGATTGTGTTATTTGGTCTTCCAGCTGTCTTTTGGATCATAAAAATTTGTTCATTTGACTCTTCTCTTGCACAACTGTCAATGCATATTCACTCCCTTGCCCCATTTACTGGGTAGATAAGTTCACAACATACTAGACGGATGGAGCATGCTGATGTGACTCAAAACTTGAATGCTTCTGCTGTGTCTTTGCAGAATATAAAATATATTCAAACAGCATTTTAGTGCTCGTGTTTGATCTAATAGACACATTGCACGTTATTTTTATAATTATTGTGATTTTTTAATTTATTTATTATCATTAATTATAAAAAAAATTTCGTTGTTGAGATCAAGAGCTTCTTATACCAGTTGCCGACTCTGTTGACGATGACACCTCTTCTAAACCCTCCTCTTCTGCTTCCTCTTCTCATCACTCCGGCCGTGAGGCAACCCTCCTCTCTCTCTCTCCCTCATGTGTACTGATTGATTGCTTGACTGACGTAGTTTGAATCCATGAAACGGTAAAGAATTTGATTTCAATGTACTCTTAAGAAAGTCCAATGTTACAGCCAAGAGAGATTTAGATGGTAATCTCTCATTCCACTCTCTTAGCTTGCTTCCTTTTAGTTTTTGATTTTTTAAGACCTCCAAAGAAAATGACAACTTATTGAGCAATAATTTATTCTTATTGTTATTTATTCGATTGTTTTGGTTTTGAAATTGAGTAATGTGGAGTTGATGAAGGGATGCTATCATAATTTTATGGTAGAATTTGAAAGTGCATGCAAACTATTTGATTGTCTGCCAAACTATTTGATTGCGAATTTGTGATTGACTTTGTGTTTGAAAATTTGTATTGTGGATAGGAATTAGTGAATGAGGTTAGATCTAGGTGGAGATATTGAGGCCTCTGTGTATCTTATTGAGATTTTTGGTGCTGCTAATTCTTATCTGTAATCGTTATTGCTTTGTGTTGGGTACACTGTCATGGAATAGTCATTCTCCGCTCAAAATTATCCCTTTTGATCAACATTTTCCAATCAAATGAAGTACCAATTTTAATGTTTTAGTTAGAATTAGAGTTTTAATTGACTCCTATGAACTCTTCAATCAGTTTGGTCAATTGGGTTTTAATCATGCGACTGCAACTTCAGGCCCTCATGATGTTAAGGTCCAGATGAAAGCTATGGGCATATGTGGAAGTGATGTTCATCATTTCAAGGTAAACTGCTCAAACTGTCATACTTCTAGAAATTAATGCATCNCATTAATGTTTTATTATGGAACTGATCCACTGACTCTGTTCTCTTTCACCTGTATCTGGTCACCATGTAGCTCATTCTCGCCATAGAAATATAGCCAATACTCCCAGTTGCAAAGTTACTAATGCGGTGGTGGAATGTTTCAAGAATTGATCTTCAACTGGATTATAGAATCATGAAAGCTGCCCAAGAACTGTCTTAAATAGACACCCAAAGGGAATTACCATCTGGGTATGTCAATTTCTGCGTTTTGTGTGAATAGTTGAGCTATTTTTTTTTTGGGTCACTGTTTGCACAGTGCGCTGATGCTATGAGAATTGGAATTGATCAATTGGGTTTCTACTGACTCATCTAATGCGAAAGTCATTATGATATGGGCCTCCGCTATCCTTCTCACAATGTGAAATGTAGCTAAATGGTACCTGTCAACAGCTTAAGGTGTCTGCAATACTGATCTAAGCTAATCCTTTTTTTTTGTCTGTATAAGCCATTTAGACCCTGGATTTTGAACTGTTTATAAACAAAGGGCTATTCAATTATCAATTTCCTTTAGTTTATACCTACCCTTTGCATTAGTTGTACAAAGTGGTTGCCTTTGAGATTTGAGTTTGACACTTTTACGACCACTAGACAATGGTTCTGGTGGAAGATGTGCAGTCCACTTGAACATATTCATCTGCGACCATCTTGAGCGTGTTAAGAAATTGGTAAAAATGCTTTCTAAGTAACCTATCAAAATAAATCACACAGATTACATAATTGGGAAGCTCCTTTCATTGTACTTCTTACCCCCAAAAACTTCTATTGATGGATTGTGTTATTTGGTCTTCCAGCTGTCTTTTGGATCATAAAAATTTGTTCATTTGACTCTTCTCTTGCACAACTGTCAATGCATATTCACTCCCTTGCCCCATTTACTGGGTAGATAAGTTCACAACATACTAGACGGATGGAGCATGCTGATGTGACTCAAAACTTGAATGCTTCTGCTGTGTCTTTGCAGAATATAAAATATATTCAAACAGCATTTTAGTGCTCGTGTTTGATCTAATAGACACATTGCACGTTATTTTTATAATTATTGTGATTTTTTAATTTATTTATTATCATTAATTATAAAAAAAATTTCGTTGTTGAGATCAAGAGCTTCTTATACCAGTTGCCGACTCTGTTGACGATGACACCTCTTCTAAACCCTCCTCTTCTGCTTCCTCTTCTCATCACTCCGGCCGTGAGGCAACCCTCCTCTCTCTCTCTCCCTCATGTGTACTGATTGATTGCTTGACTGACGTNTATTCTTACTGGGGCAAAGTAATGGTATGCTTAAAACAATGATGATCATAAGAGGTGACCGGCCGATTCTCTGAACAAAAGAACATAGAATACCATACTTTTCCACATCCCACTGTTGGTTGATTACACATTCTTTGTGGTTTAAATCTGATCTTGAGGAATGGTTTGGAAGAGTGTCAGATATGTATTGAATCTGATTCTCAGGTATTAGTTCAGATGGTTTTGAAGANTGTGTACTGATTGATTGCTTGACTGACGTAGTTTGAATCCATGAAACGGTAAAGAATTTGATTTCAATGTACTCTTAAGAAAGTCCAATGTTACAGCCAAGAGAGATTTAGATGGTAATCTCTCATTCCACTCTCTTAGCTTGCTTCCTTTTAGTTTTTGATTTTTTAAGACCTCCAAAGAAAATGACAACTTATTGAGCAATAATTTATTCTTATTGTTATTTATTCGATTGTTTTGGTTTTGAAATTGAGTAATGTGGAGTTGATGAAGGGATGCTATCATAATTTTATGGTAGAATTTGAAAGTGCATGCAAACTATTTGATTGTCTGCCAAACTATTTGATTGCGAATTTGTGATTGACTTTGTGTTTGAAAATTTGTATTGTGGATAGGAATTAGTGAATGAGGTTAGATCTAGGTGGAGATATTGAGGCCTCTGTGTATCTTATTGAGATTTTTGGTGNCTTTGCATTAGTTGTACAAAGTGGTTGCCTTTGAGATTTGAGTTTGACACTTTTACGACCACTAGACAATGGTTCTGGTGGAAGATGTGCAGTCCACTTGAACATATTCATCTGCGACCATCTTGAGCGTGTTAAGAAATTGGTAAAAATGCTTTCTAAGTAACCTATCAAAATAAATCACACAGATTACATAATTGGGAAGCTCCTTTCATTGTACTTCTTACCCCCAAAAACTTCTATTGATGGATTGTGTTATTTGGTCTTCCAGCTGTCTTTTGGATCATAAAAATTTGTTCATTTGACTCTTCTCTTGCACAACTGTCAATGCATATTCACTCCCTTGCCCCATTTACTGGGTAGATAAGTTCACAACATACTAGACGGATGGAGCATGCTGATGTGACTCAAAACTTGAATGCTTCTGCTGTGTCTTTGCAGAATATAAAATATATTCAAACAGCATTTTAGTGCTCGTGTTTGATCTAATAGACACATTGCACGTTATTTTTATAATTATTGTGATTTTTTAATTTATTTATTATCATTAATTATAAAAAAAATTTCGTTGTTGAGATCAAGAGCTTCTTATACCAGTTGCCGACTCTGTTGACGATGACACCTCTTCTAAACCCTCCTCTTCTGCTTCCTCTTCTCATCACTCCGGCCGTGAGGCAACCCTCCTCTCTCTCTCTCCCTCATGTGTACTGATTGATTGCTTGACTGACGTAGTTTGAATCCATGAAACGGTAAAGAATTTGATTTCAATGTACTCTTAAGAAAGTCCAATGTTACAGCCAAGAGAGATTTAGATGGTAATCTCTCATTCCACTCTCTTAGCTTGCTTCCTTTTAGTTTTTGATTTTTTAAGACCTCCAAAGAAAATGACAACTTATTGAGCAATAATTTATTCTTATTGTTATTTATTCGATTGTTTTGGTTTTGAAATTGAGTAATGTGGAGTTGATGAAGGGATGCTATCATAATTTTATGGTAGAATTTGAAAGTGCATGCAAACTATTTGATTGTCTGCCAAACTATTTGATTGCGAATTTGTGATTGACTTTGTGTTTGAAAATTTGTATTGTGGATAGGAATTAGTGAATGAGGTTAGATCTAGGTGGAGATATTGAGGCCTCTGTGTATCTTATTGAGATTTTTGGTGCTGCTAATTCTTATCTGTAATCGTTATTGCTTTGTGTTGGGTACACTGTCATGGAATAGTCATTCTCCGCTCAAAATTATCCCTTTTGATCAACATTTTCCAATCAAATGAAGTACCAATTTTAATGTTTTAGTTAGAATTAGAGTTTTAATTGACTCCTATGAACTCTTCAATCAGTTTGGTCAATTGGGTTTTAATCATGCGACTGCAACTTCAGGCCCTCATGATGTTAAGGTCCAGATGAAAGCTATGGGCATATGTGGAAGTGATGTTCATCATTTCAAGGTAAACTGCTCAAACTGTCATACTTCTAGAAATTAATGCATCAGTTTTGTTATTATGTTGTGTGTACCATAGTCTTTGAAAATGGATACAAGTTTCCTGTTTTGAAATGGAATTAGTTACTGGACACATCAATGCTTTAATTCTCCACAGAATCTAGGAGCAAGTAACCTGGCTAATCATGCATGTAGTAGAGCTGAAGAGAGGAAAACAATCATGATCATTGAGGGTGATTAGTAATTTTCTTGATAGGAGAACATAGAATACCATAGTTCTGCACGTACTACTGTTGAATGATGGCGTATTCTTACTGGGGCAAAGTAATGGTATGCTTAAAACAATGATGATCATAAGAGGTGACCGGCCGATTCTCTGAACAAAAGAACATAGAATACCATACTTTTCCACATCCCACTGTTGGTTGATTACACATTCTTTGTGGTTTAAATCTGATCTTGAGGAATGGTTTGGAAGAGTGTCAGATATGTATTGAATCTGATTCTCAGGTATTAGTTCAGATGGTTTTGAAGAAGGCAGAGGTGCCTTGGAGAATGAGGAGGATTTTGGAGCAGATTTGGATAATTCTTGGGGGTTTGCAGTTCCAGTTGAGACATGTGTTCAAGGAGGCAAATGCAGTTGTTGATTAGTCTCATCTCCCCCTCTTCTCTTTCCTTTTCTCTCTCTCTCTCTTATGTGCCTCTGTAAGGTTAGTCTCCACGCAATGCATACACACGCTAACACACCCATCAACTACATACTCACACATAAACCCATCACCTAGACACACACAACTAATTTCAAAATTAGGGCTGTTAATTGGAGTAAATTGATGTTGTTAATTTGTAGTTAATAGGGTTGCGTCTCCTTCTCTGTCTTCATCTCTGCACACACACACAAACATCGACACCCACACTCCCTCGACAAACATCTACACCCACACTCCCATTCCCTTCATCAGATCACTTCCACATCCACCAACCATGGCCACCCCCTAACTCAACTATCTGTCATCCCCAATCCCTTCATCAGACCATAGCCAACCCCAGCCACCATAGAGCCCGACACCCTTCTCACACATTAACCCCCTAACCCAACTATATGCCTCATAAACTTTGTAAGTTTTTATTTGAATTTATATGAGTGAATGATATTAGATCACACCCAACAACTCCCCCTCCCCCCCCCCCAAATTCGATTTGATTATATGTTGTTGAAGTAGGCGTGATATTGATTCATGGGTTATTCTATTTTATAGGAATGTATCGTTGTGTTATTCATTTGGACCCAAATTGAATCCTTTTGTATGTACAAATTTGTTGTAATGGTAATATTTATTTTTCATTACATTTGAGTTTAAACTATTGTTGTAGCTAGATGCTATGATGTTTATTTTCTTGAATTCTATTGACTAGAGTTGTTGGTACAGTCATCTATATTCATCATCCTCCTCTCCAACTAGCAACAGTGCAACATAATATGCAATAGCCGGGGTTTGGTTGGAACATTGATCCTTAATCCCCAAAGGTATCAATTTGTTCTATGTAAAATGGTAAGCTCTTATTTGGTGTTCTTACATCTTGATTTGTTCTTGAGTCGGTGCTCTTATTTTTTTTACTAAGCTGTAACGGATGTTTTTCACTGTTGAATCCATTGACTTTCTTTGATTGTCGGTGATCACACACTATTAATTGTTGAATAAATGATCGAGCGCTTATAGATTAACTTTCTCACTTTCTTTGAATTAATTGATTTGACCTTGGTTAATAAATGGTTATCTCCTGATATATAATGTGCTATGGTGTTTTTTTGTTTTTGTTTTGGAAATGAAACATTATTTTCATACCATTGTTTTTATGGCTAATTAATCATTAGCTATTGAGCATTGTTTTCATTCAAATGCTTTGATTTGCTATACTGATAATTATTGAACCAGTTTTTAAAAAAATCCAAAGTCCGCTAATTGATTATGATTTTTATTACTAATTGATGTGCTTTTAGTAAACTATTTTGCCATTTTATAGGGATTTTGTAGCAGATGCTGATTTGTTTGAAAATTCTTGTTATTTAGGAGAATGGATGGAGGTATTTTTCATACTGCATTGCTTATCTTTTCATGCTTTTTTTATGGTGGGCAGTTGCTGATTTTTTTGTTTAGTACATTGTACATTTGATTTTAGATACCCATTAAATAGTTTGTTTTAATGTGTTGTCTTTGCCCCGGTGATTATCTACACTATTTTTGTATGACAATGAATTTGTTTTTTAATATTTAATTGTTAGTTATATTTGTTGCTCAAGGTTTAGTTTCTTTGATATGAGATACAAACTTTTATTCATTGTATTAAGTTTTATTGGTACAGAAACATTGTTCATGACTGAAGAAAAATGCAAATTGTTTTACATGGTTTTCGTCAATTTGCTATTCGTATTGCCAATCCCCAATTCCCCACATCTCCATTTCTTATATTGTGTTTTCTTTTCTTTTTTTTTTCTCTCATGGTTGATTCTTTGCAAGCCAAGCTGATAGCTAATGAACAAATGGAATAAATCAATGCAATGACGATTAAATCAATGCAATGGAATAGCTACTGCTGACCATCATACCTTTCTGTTTAAAATTCCTGTCAAAGATTATGGGCCGAGGCTATTAATTTGATTAAATTGAGTCTGGGTTTGAATTAGTTGAAGAGTTTGAGTTTGGGTTAAATGATACATTGATTTAGATTATTGTCTTCTCCTCTGATTTTTCGATGAACTTCGCGATGGGCAACGACCATCGGTAGTGCAGCTCCAACGACTAGCGACGACACAACTTAAGTGGTCATGTTGTTCTCCTAAATAGTGGTTTGTTTTTTGAGTTTGTTATTTTCATAGGTTCTTCATTTGTTTTGGAAATTTACATTTTTTAGTCTTGATTTATTTTTTGTAGGTTGTCTCGGATTCACACGGTCATGCCACTTTCAACGTCATGCTGCCGTCAAATTCATCAGTAAGATTCTGTTTTAGTGTTTTGTAGGTTGTCTCATGTAGCTTTGTCTAAACCTTAAAATGCTGATTTCATTGAGGATTGGGTTTTGAAACAGATATGAAGTCATTTTTTTACTTTTTCTCTCATTTATTTCTCCATTTTACAATACATGCTCATATGTAGATGATTCGACAAACTTAATTGCTCCATTGGTTGGAGGCCAAGCACATAGTGGCCATTCTTTGTTTTCTTGGGTGGTGCTATGTTTTGCTTACTATCAAGTGGCAATTACAGCTAATGGTATTAATCATTCTCAATCCATTGAATTGTTGTTTCTTTTTTTGGAATTGTTTTATCCATTTAGGTGTTTGATGAATTGCGTGATTGCAAGGCTTTGGGCATTTGGGTCTTTGTTTGAGGACTTAGGTTTGTTGCAGTAAGAAATATACGTAGGATTATGGATTGTGAATGGTTTTGATCCCATGTGTTTACTTTTTATTTAGTAATTTTTCATGGATGTGAATGGATGATTTGTATTGAAAATAGGAAATCATTTGAGTTAAATCAGTTGAAAGAAGTTAAAGAGCGTGCTATGTAGGTTGNATATTGAAAATAGGAAATCATTTGAGTTAAATCAGTTGAAAGAAGTTAAAGAGTGTGCTACGTAGGTTGCATTCAGGTTAAATATTTGTAAGTGTCAGGTCAGTTGCCACAATTGAGTGGGGGAGGGAGGTTATATGAGTTTGCCTACGGCCAAGTTTGAGTTTTTGTACTCTAATCATGGTTTTGTTTTGTTTTGCTTTTATTGTTTCATACTCTCTATGATTGCTAGGAAATATGTCCCCTGATTTTTTTTTATTATGTATAAATTTTTGCCTTGCTTAGATGCTATTTATTTTTCTATAAAAATTTAGGTTTAAGGTTTAAGTTTTATATATTCAATCCAATCTTGAAGATATGAATTATTCAATTACGTTTTTAATTAACATTGCTTTGGAATATATTATTTCTCTCTTACTACGTTTCTTTAGAAAGCAACGTGCTAATGACAAATTTTGAAGTAATTGTGCATAATTTTGATACTTCATTTGGGTTTGGTTAATATTTGAAGTAATTGGGTTTGGTAATTGCACCCAAATATTAACCCTCATTCATTCCCCCAAATTAATTTGCAAGAAAATTTCATGAATTTCATCTCTTTCTTGCATTTTGAGATTTGGGACTAACATTTTTTTTTAGAACAATTAACATTGAGTGAATTACTAATTCGATTAATGTTGTGCAGATTCGGGTCTATCAGAGATTATTATAGAGGTTGTGGAGGGTAAAAACCTTCTCACTGGTAGTAATTTCTACATACTTGTAATGTTGGTTTTGTTGATTTATTGGAGTAGACATTGATTTAAAAATAGTAAATGTCATTTTGTTGTGTGATGGAAGTTGCTTGGGATTGAAAAATTTTATGGATTGTTTCTAAATTTTTGAAAAAGTGGTTGTATCACACAATTTTATGATTGGCATGTCACTTTTTCATGTATTCATATGGTGCATTTGTTGTGGTTCATGTATGAAAGAATAGTTTTAAGTTAGCTTGAGATGCATAAAAAGAGCATTTTTATTTTTCAACCTCATCCATTTTACTTGATTTTTTGTATAGGCACAAATTGATTTGATTGATCCAATTAAACTTACGGAATGTTATCTGGGGTTTATAGTCTAAAAATACAATTTAGACTTTTAGCTTAATGCATGTCTATATTCGGTGTTTGATTGTTTCGTGTTCAAGAACAATGTATTTTTTTAATTGCATAGTGCCTTCAGCCATGGGTTATAGGGGCAGTTTAGTCTTTTAACTTAGTACGCATTTGAGTTCAGTGCTCGATTTTTTTTTAATTGCACTGTGCCTTTAGGCACGGGTTATCCCTAACATGCGTATAGATTGTAATATTAACTTAAAGAAGTTAGTAAAAGAGTTGGTTTGAGTAAGGTTTAATAAGTGATATCGAATTTCTAATAAATGTGTTCAAAAAGTAGAAGCACTACTAACATTCTGTCTATATACGTGTCATGTGGTTACTGCGACTAATTTGTGAAATTAGTCAATAAGCATGCGTATAGATTGTAGTATTCTTAGGATTCAATGAATATATGGATTTCATTAATATTTCTGATTTTTTGATCTGTTGAATTTATGGCGGTATGTTTTTATTTCTGGATTGTTGCCAATTATGATGAATTGGGTAATACGTTATCCATGTGTATCATTGTTTATTGTTCTCTAATCATTTTGCTAAATATACAAATTAAGCAACTTTTATTTTACTTTGTATGGTTTGTTTTGCTCAAACTTTACTTTTCCCTAATATTTTTCCTAAATATGTGCCATTGTTTGACACTTCAGTTTTACTTTAGTAGTTTTTATGACACACTACTAAGTTTAGTCATTATCAAATGCAAACTGCAAAAATCTGTGGATAATAAGAATCCTAAGATTTTGGGGTTTTATTTAGCTTTAGAGGTAAGATGGATACCTTTGTTGTTCTTAAAGTGTTGCTACATTTTTATGATTAATCAATGCCCACCTTCTTCGGTTAAAGAAATAAAATTCCTTTGCAATTGTATTGCATTGAGATGAAGTGAATTTGAAATTATTTGGAATTATATTACTTTATATTTTTACATGTACCATTGCACGAATTAAATCTTGGTTCAATATGAATGCAAGGTTTAATCATATATATTTTATTTCTTTTAAGGTCTAAAGTATTGGTTTTTCATATATACTCTTGGTTTTGCAGTGAGATTTAAGGAAAAGATGAGAAGAGAAGACCTTTTGACAAAATGACTACATGTTCCAAGTATGCAAAACACTTTAGAGAGTACTTAGTTTTAGTTATCTTTTCAAGTGTTATGACTTAATTTAGAAAAGTTTATTTAATTTTCATTAGATGTGTTGAGTAGAATGGAATCAAGATCAAAGAACAGGTATTGAGCGAAAAGTGTATTATTTTTGTGGGTTTCATTTGTTAAGTTTTATACTTTGGACGGCATATAATTATGCTATAATTTGTAATAATGATTTCCTTTATAGGTAACTTCTTTGAATAATAACTATATGCACATTCCCTAATTATTGGTGTTTCTCTTCTTTTTTTTTTTTTTTTTATTATTTGCACAGGTTCTTTACAATTTAATGATTGTTTTTATGAGAATTTTTGATTGCAAGTTTGTTATACATTTTATGGGTAGTTGTGTTATAATTAGTTTTTGTGTGGTTGTTATATATGTTTATTGATTTTGGAGGAGTTGACAGATTGATTTTATTTATTTGTTCAGGTTTGTTTAGTTGTTATATTTGTATAGTAGTTGTATGTTGATTAGTTTTGGCACAAGTGCCGAAATGGTTATTAGTCAATGGCTATTATGTTGTTGTAGTATTTGCTCAATGTAAGTGTATTAATACTAGACTCTGGTATAATGGTGAGTCCTATGATTGGTTTGGAGTGTATTTTCTTTAAGTAGAGGTTTTTTAAAAAGTAATAAATAGGCATATCAATTATTACTATCGTTTTAAGATGTTTTTATGAAATTTGAAGATTGTGTTCACTAGTTGTTATTTTTTTGGGTGCCTTTTTTTGAACGAAATTCAGTCAAATAGTTATAGAAATTTTTTGGGTGTTGTTTTAGAATGAAATTTTGTCGAATTATTTTAGAAAATAGTCGGCCAATACTGATTTTAATTTGTGGAATTAAAGAAAGGAAGGAAAAACAAGTTTCTATTTGAAATATTAATAGATTAATTTATTTATGTGACCCAAAATAATCAGATTTTCGTGGGCTGCAAAGAGCCTTCAGTCATTGGTTGTTTGTCTTAGTTTTCTTTTTACGTGTCTGAACCTAGTTTAGTAAAGTGAACCAAACACATGTTTTAGTTTGATTGGAATTGATGGTGGCCAAAGATTGACGGGTTCGGAATAGTGATTTTTTGGGGAATTTTGATTGTGAACTTCGATTATTATTATATCTGATTGTGAACTGTGAATTTCAGAGATTTTGAGTTTTGCAAATTTCCTGAACTCTAATTGTTAGAGCAATCTCTACTAAAATAGAATTTCCTGAACTCCTATTGTTAGAGCAATCTCTACTAAAATAGTAATTGCCAACAAATGTCA